CTGGGCTGCAACCCGGTAAAAGTGAAGAAGACAATAGATAGAAATAGGAGAGGAAAAGATGCTGCCATTGGACATGACACATGTTGAGAAGAGATGAGAATAGTATAACTAGAATGTCTTTACCATAGAACCCACAGCAGCATAGAAATAAAAGCAGATGAAAAAAAAAAAATACACATAAAGAAATGAATCAGAGAAAAATTAAAAATATGGAAAGGATTTGGGGTGAGCTGCATGAGATAGCAGGGTATAGTATGACTTGGTGTGAGTTAGTTGAGGGCCTATGCTCCATTGGGGGATAAAGGGCAGAAGAAGAACATTGTTTGTATGCCAGCATTTACCTTTTGGTTTATCAGTAAAAATATTTATATGCTAGTTTGAAGCCATTGTTTTCCTGTATAGGTATTTGAAACAGTTGTTTTCCTATATGTAGTTATGAATGTTCGTGGACTTGTTTTTAAAAAGGGGAAAAGAGGGGGGAGGGGTTACATTTTCTGCTTCAAAATAATAATAATAATGTATTTCTGTCTTTTTTTTTTCTTACGCAGTTGTGTTTTTTGCCAGTCATTATTCCTTATTTTATGTATATCAATATGCCTGTTTAAATAGATGGTTTATTTTTAGATAATATTGTTTATCATGGCTTTTCATGTTCGTTTTTTAAATTAATACTGTTCGTCTAATTTGTTTGTTTTTTTTCCTCCTCCCACTCCTCCTCAAACCTCTCCTTCTCCCTTCTGCTTCTTCTTCTGTGCTTTAATTTTAGACTACCCATCTCATTGGCTTTGAGATTTGGTAAGGGGGTGGGGGGTGGAGTTCAGGGTTAGTCACTTTTCATTTAACACTAGTCCTAACCCTAATCCTCCTATATAATATAGGCCTGTCCGGGAAAATCCCCAGGAATTGCCTACAAAATCCCAAAGCTGATGAGATGAGGTTGTCTAAAATTAAAGTACCTCTTCTTCGTTCATGTAGGTGTTCAGTTTTGAGATCTGTAGCAAATACATCTGTGTGTTCTGTTTGCTGCTTCTTCACTTGATGGAAACCAAGTGCGATACTAAGTGACAAACTTTTGTCTTCTTTTCCTTATATGGCAAGAATTTTCAGTATTACAATTTCTCACTGCTTTCCTCCTTTTTCTGCTACTTATTCTTCCCCCCCCCCCCTCTATTTTTCCTCTGCTCCTCATCCTTCTTTGTCTCCTCTTTCACTGTTTAAGATTCAGTATATCTCTGTTTAATTCTAATGTCAAATCAGTAGTAGTGTATGAATCAGAAACATGAACAACTCAGGCAGTTACTAATAAACTACAAACGTTTGTTAACTGGTGCCTGAGCAGAATAGAGGATGTTAAATGGTATGACACAGTCACTAATGTAGAGCTTTAGGAGAGAACTAAACAAGTTACAGTGGACTAAGAGGTGAAGAAGAAAAGACACTGGCGTTGGATAAGACATACGTTGAGAAAATATGAGAACAGTATAAAACTAAAATGTCTTTGCACTGGAACCCACAGGGGCATAGAAATAAAGGAGGAACAAAAAACAAAACAAAAAACACATGGAGAAGGGAGCTAGAGAGTGAAGTTAAAAAGATGGGGAGGATATAGGGAGAGCTACATATGATAGCAAAGGATAGAGCGACTTGGCGTGAGTTGGTTGGGGACCCTTGCTGCGTTGGGGGCTAGAAAGGCAGAAGAAGAAGATATCTCTGTACAGTGTTTAGTGAAGCTCATGTATGCCATATTTGTCTTGCAGCGTATAGGATGACTAGGCACACGTTGGTTGATGGTCTATGTTTCTTCGGAGGATGGAGAGCAGAGAAGAAATGAGGACCGAAATGGATGAAGCAGCCTGTCTAACTCTTTCATTCCCAACTAGTTTCACAGCAAATGCTGAAAGAGATAAAGGATCAAACACTTTTCTCTCCCACCACTTCTCCATTCTTCTTCCTCTTTCTCTCTCTCCCCCACTGTCTGACTGTTGCCTGCCTCTTCATTTTTGTGTTTGATCTCTACTTCTCTGTTTTTCTCTGTCTCTCTCAGTTTAACCCACTTTCTTATGTATTATTCACACAGTCACCCATTCGCAAGCACCTCTTTCCACCTCACCCCTTTCTCACACTATACTTAGTCGTATCAGTTACACACCCCCTCCCCCTTTTCCATTTTGTGGGAGAAATTAAATGTACATTTGAAAAATGCCATGAAAGTAAAGTTGCATGAAGAATGTTGTACAGTCATTGAAAAACAAATTATTTGACAAAAATGTTGTATGAAGAATGTTGTGAGCTCATTGGAAAAAATATGTAACAGAAATGTTGCATGAAAAGTACTGTTTTACACTCATTGGAAAAAAATATAGGACATAAATGTTGCATGAAGAATGTTGAATGTTCATTTGAAAAATATATGGCAGAAATGTTGCATGAAAAATAGCGTGCTTTCATTGTTGTGTGCAAGCATAGGGTGTATAATTTCAAAATTGTTTGTTAATATTAAAATTGGGAATATTTTCTGCTTCTGAAATAACAGTAAGCTGAAAACTTAATAAATTATCTCCATGAAAGTTTAAAGCCTGTATACATACTAGAACTGGAAACAAAGATAACCTTCTAAACTGAAAATTTTAATTGTTGAAATGTAATATACACACTCTGATTCATTCTTTGTTTTCCAGGTTGTCATAATTGATGGTTGAAACTGATTTATAAATTTAAATTTTCAACTTAGTATATTAAAATACAAATTCAAATTGTGATGGTTTAAATTCTGTACATAAATTAAGATTTGTTAATTGAAGAGCTACAGCTGAACTATTTCAGTGGCAAGCAACTCACCATGAGTTTACTGGGAACTCTTTGCATGATATACTTTTAACTCATCTCCTTATTCCTCATCCAGCTGTTACATTAGCCCATTCTATCCAAGTTTTTTGGTTGTTGTAAGCTTTTATTAAGTCCACTTTCTTAACTGTAACCTAATTTGTTAGGGGTAAAATATAAAACTGTTCTTACCAAGGAATATTTTATTCTATGTAACAAATGTTTAGGATGTAATGAGGAATGTCTGCTGAAGACCGAAAGAGTTGTGCATATTTTAATTATCAAAAGTTACCTGTATGGGTTTTAGGGCTTTAATTTTTTGGGAAAGGGGGGGGGGGGATAGACCCACTGTCCCTCAGCAGACATGTCATAAAAGGTGACTGATTAAGGGTATGCTGGAAGTAGATGTGTTGAGCTCGAGCTGAATAGTGCAGGTATTGCAACCTGCCTGTAAACTACAACACAATTTATCAACCCCCCTTTTTGAAGAAATTTACAAAGAATAATATAAATTTTAAAATGTTATAAATGTATATAAAACCTGTTACCTATTACCGATGGTAGTCTCCTGCTGTGCATGCTTCTGTGGGGGAGTTCTTCATGTTGTACATGGCTAGTCCACAAGACAACCTGGATAATTATGTGACTGTTGGAGAAAGACCTTCTGATGCCCTGGTTAGACTGGTGCCTCAGTATCGCTGAGGTGTAAATAGGCTCTCTGGCAATAGAGAGTCGACTGCGGACTGGGCTGATCCTCTCTAATGCACGATAGTAAATGGATAGCTAACGCTACAAACTAATATAAATATTCCTCAGGGTCCTTTGAAAGGGGAGGGAGAATGAAGGACCTATTATTGATACCACTGTTGTTGACCCCACCAGTTTCCAGACTTAGTAGGAGTAATATCAAGGAACTCCTTTTTGCTGGTGACCAAGTCTTGATAGCAGAAGCAGTCAGGAAATTGCAGCATCTCACATTCCTGAATCAGTTGCAGTAAAGCAGAATTGAAGTCTCACAGAATATGTTCAGTTGTCAGTTCTTCTTGTCCACTTGTGCACTGTTCAGTTTCTTGTGATAAAAGATTTTTTTTTAATGGTTACCACTGCAGCAAGAGATTCAGTTCAACACTTCCAGATGATTCAAAAACCAGTCAACTACACAGCAAACTAACTAACCTAGTAAAGGAAAGAAAATTATGTATAGACTAGGCATTATTTGTAGGAAACTATGGTAACATAGTGGCTAGTGCTTGATTGCTGGCCCACATGTTTGAATCAACTTTTATTATTGATCTTGGCTCACTGAACCCAGCCTAAAATAATCTGAACCAGGTAAAGTCTTGGGAAGTAAAGGTGGCCAGCATGACTTGAACACATCATTTATCCAATGTTGAACATGGACAGAATGTTTGTGGACATGGGAGTGCAATCTGGAGCTGCTAGAAATGAACATTTCACCAAGGAGACAAGACGTTTGATTAATCAGCACAGAACAGGCTGTGTCATTTGTTTTACGCTTGTAGAGCTTTTAAAGAACAAACAAACAAATTTTGCCTTTAAAAGGTCACAAATTGGGCCTGCAGGCCCGTCTTACCTTTGGCCTATCCAAACATTCATCTTTCACACAACATTTGTATTTTATTAGTTATGCATGTTATGTTCATATAACAATATGCATAATATGAATGTCAAGGGAAAAAATGTATAGTTAATGCATGAACAAATGCCCACTCACATATTCACGCACTCACATAATACATACATACATATGCACATACATAGATACGCATGCATACCTATGGGCATACATTCATACATACATACACATGCACATACATAGATGCGCACACATACATAATACATATATGCACACACACGTAATGCATACATACACTTACATAGATACTCACACACATATACATACATACATACGCACATACATTTATACATACATGCACGCACACATACATACACACACACATACATACATACATATACACACACATAATACCTTCGTATACATGCATGCATACACACATAGGAGATCCAAATACCCGTGGATCTGTCAGGAGCCTGATGTGCCACTGCATGAAAAAAGTAAGTCCAGTACTTGTTTACTGTACATTATTTATAATTCCTTGTCTTGTCCTGATCCATTGATGTGTTTCTGCTGGCAGCTATCTACAGGACACCATTAACTTCCTGCTGGGCATTCTAAAGAGGGAGCGTGAGAGGTCCCAGGCATTTCTGGCTGTCGGCTTCCTGGCCATTGCTGTGCAGGGTGAGATACTGTCCTACATGAGCCGCATCATGGACATCATTAGGGCATCTCTGCCTTCAAGGGAACATTCCAACAAGTAAGCTTGTTTTTTTGTTGTTGTTGTTGTTAGAAGATAAGTGTACACCCACAGAACATACTCATCAGTGTTTTCATTCCCCATGTGGGTTTTGGGGCCCCATTGTGGGGTGGGAGGAGGGGAATAGACCCACCACCCATAACAAGCATATCGTTAAGACAGACTAAATAGGGGAGTTTTCTTTAAAGTCGGAGTGCATCTGCCTAAGAGTTAAGGAACCAAGTCAGCATAAAATAAGCCAGATCTGTAAAACTTGTTCTGGAACAAGAACATATTCCAGAAGTGGATGAACAACAATAACTTTTGGCCTGAGTTTAAACCGGTAAACACAGTGAAGACAAATTATCCTCATCATTGTATTCATCAACATCATTGGCAGGAGATTTTTTATTATTGTTGTACCAGTTGTTTAGTCATCATTATCGTCATCATCATCATCATGGTTCTCTTTGTCATTATAGTCATCACTATCACATAGTCATGATAGTCATCATCATAATCATTACTGTTGTTATTGTCATCATCATAATTGTTGTTATTACTATTGTCATTATTATAATCATTATTGTTGTTATTGTCATTATAGTCATCATCATTATTATTGTTGTTATGGTCATTATAGCCATCATTATTATAATCATTATTGTTGTTATTGTCATTATAGCCAGCATCATAATTGTTGTTGTCATCACTATTGGCATTATTATAATCATTATTGTTGTTATTGTCATTATAGCCAGCATCATAATTGTTGTTGTCATCACTATTGGCATTATTATAATCATTATTGTTGTTATTGTCATTATAGTCATTATCATAATTGTTGTTTTTGTCACTGTTGTCATTATAATCATTATTGCGTTATTGTCATTATATTCATCATCATTGTTATTGTCATTATAGTCATCATAATCAATATTGTTGTTATTACCATAATCATCATAATCATTTTTGTTGTTATTGTCATAGTCATCATAATCATTATTGTTGTTATTGTTATTATAGTCATCAAAATCATTATTGTTCTTATTGTCAATATAGTCATCATCATCATTATTTTTATTATTGTCATATAGTCATCATTATGGTTGTTCTTGTCATTATAGTCATCATCATCACTATTGTTGTTATTGTCATTATAGTCATCAAAATCATTGTTGTTGTTATTGTCATTATAGTCATTAAAGTCATCATCATCACTATTGTTGTTTTTGTCATTATAGTCATCATCATCATCATGGTTGTTTTTGTCATAATAGTCATCATCATCATCACTATTGGTGTTTTTGTCATTATAGTCATCAGCATTATGGTTGTTATTGTCATTATAGTCATCATCATCACTATTGTTGTTAGTGTCATTATAGTCATCATCATCACTATTGTTGTTAGTGTCATTATAGTCACTATCACTATTGTTGTTTTTGTCATTATAGTCATCATCATTATATTTGTTATTGTCATTATAGTCATCATCATCACTATTGTTGTTAGTGTCATTATAGTCATCATCGTCATCATCACTGTTGTTGTTTTTGTCATTATAGTCATCATCGTCATTACTGTTGTTGTTTTTGTCATTATAGTCATCATCATCATTATTGTTGTGTCATTATAGTCATCATCATAATCATTATTGTGTCTTTGTTGGTGTAGTCATCATTATCAATATTTTTGTCTTTGTCATTGTAGTCATCATCATCACATCATTATTATTGTCACTTTAGTCATCATCATCATCATTTTTGTTGTTATTTACATTATAATCTTCATCATCACCACCAACACGATCATTGGTGACACTTGCTGGCTCCTATTGTAAATGGTATCTCACTGCTTTGTGTGTTTTATTTATTATTTTAACCCTTGCTGTCTCATAAAGTTATTTACCATAATGCTACAACTGCTGGAGAAAGAAAATGTTAGAGAAGATAAACAACTGTGTTTCAGAGGTTGACTATTTCATACAGGGATAGTCATTGCAATGTGGATGTAACTGTGTTACAAAGGTTGTTTAATGTCACAAAACAGAAATGATTTGTCTGGCAGATCCAGCTGTGTTTCAAAGGTTATTCAATGTCACTAAAAGAATAATCACGATTGATAAAGATGTGTTAAAAAATTGTAACGTAAAGAGTCTTAATATTGTGGTGACTGTTACAAAAGTTAAGTGTTGCAGAAAGAGTTGTCAGATTGTGATGAATGTTAAAAAAATCAAATGTTACAGAAAGTTGCATCATTGTGTTTCGATATTCCAAAAGTTAATTAATGTTACATAAAGAATTGTCACATTGTGGTCGATGTTACAACAGTGAATTAATGTTACAGAAAAAGTCGCCACATTGTGGTGGATCCAGCCGTGTTCACATGCATCAGCATGCTGGCCCGGGCCATGGGTCCACAGATGACCCATGATGTCAAGGAACTGCTGGACAGTATGCTGGCAACAGGTCTCAGGTAGGAACCAAGGAACCCCTGCCAATGTTATCTTGTTCAGCTGTCATACCTAACCCTTCATGTTCTTCTCCTTAGCATTCACAAAGCATGTTGTAAGAGTCAGCCAACTGGGAGCTTGCTTTGAAGTTGAAGTGCATCTTCCTGAGAGGCAAGGAACCAACAGTGTGCAAAGAAATAAGTCAGATCTGTAAAACAGATGTGCACACAACAGTCAGGTTTTGGAACAAGACTAAAGCACAAAGGTGGACGAACAACCAGAACTTTTCCCTGGAATTTACAGCCGGTGAATACATAGAAGAAGAGACTGGCTGTGCACCCTGGTGCAAAGGCCTGGCTGTTGTACATTTCTGGACTTTGGCCACATTACAGTACTTGAGTCTTGGGCTTCTAGACTTTGGTCTTATTCCAGAACTTGTGTTTTGTGTGCACATCTGTTTTACACATGTGACATATTTGTATACAGACTGTTGGTTTTTCTCATCTCAGGCAGATGAATTCCAGCTTAGAAAGAAACACCCATTATTCACCTATTACGACATAGTTGTCTGCTTCTTGCTCATCAGGCTGCCCCGACCATAGACACATCATGCTGGTTTAGTTTCTCTGTTATCTGTCCATTTTGTTCTTGGTCTGCCTCATGTTGTGCATCCCTGTCCTCTTTTGGTATATGCCTTGTATGTGTCATTGCAAGGCATTCTGTCCAAGTGGGCTGTGCATTTTATTTGAAGCCATTGTATGTAATTTAGAATTGATGTGTCTTTTTCTCTTAGACCTTATTCCTGATTTTGTCTGTTCTTAGACATCTCATTGTTATAAAATTTCCTGGTTTTTTTACAGTTCTTCCCTATGGACAGAGACAGTAAACAGCTGAAAGTTATTTGTGATACAAGGTGTGATCAAATAAAACCCACCCCAGTAGCATTATTCATATGAATGAAAGGCATATTAACAGATGGGACTGAGTTAAACAAAGCAGTTGTTTGGAAATAAGCATGCACCCGAGGAAGTCGTACACATTCAAACACGTTTCCTACAGCTTGAGAAATCATGCGTACCGTATGCAAAGAAGGACTGGATTTTCATTTAATTACTTGGTCACTAATATATTAGTGTAGAACTATTGACTCTTGAGAGCTTTGGGAGGAAACTAAACAAATTGCAGTGAATCAAGAGGTGATAAAAAATTCTTGCTTTGGATAGGACATTGAGATGCAGAAGTGCTGAACCACAGTGTGGTGTTGCATCATCACTGCGGTGATACTAGTCAAGACCTATGTGCCCCTCTCCATGGTTGTCCTAGAAGGAGTTTCCTTCCAGGGGCCTGTCCAACATAGCTGCGATCAATATTTCAACATTTCCTTTAAAGTCGGAGTACATCTGCCTCAGAGGCAAGGAACCAACAGTCTGCACATAATTACGCCAAATCTATACAACTCATGTGCACACATTGCTTGGCTTGGAACAAGACCAAAGTCCAGAAGTGGATAAACAACCGGGAGCTGGTGAACATGAAAAAGAAGGAGGATAGGACACTGAGAAACTATAAAATAATAAGAATACTGTTTTCTAGAACCACTGGTAGACACAAGAATAAAGGTAGACTCAGAAAAAAAAAGTACACCAAAACACAAAGATTAAAATTAGAGAATTTGGTGAAAAAGCTGGGAGGATATGAGATGAGATACATTCAGCAGCTTCTGAACAGAATGACTTGACATGAATTGATCACCTGAGCTTCATTGTAAGGTGAAGATCAAAAGTAGAAAGAAGAAATGATGCTCCATAGGCACTATCCATCATGACCTAACACGGCTGTGTTAATTTGATCACACCTTGTAGTTTATTTTGCTGATGAAAGGTGACAGATGCATAATCATATGATTAATATCAAGTTTGATTATTGCTAAATCGAAACTCAGCCCAGCCCTGACTGCGGCCATGAGAGAGCTGGCTACACAGATCCCTCAGCTGAAGAAAGACATTCAGGATGGGCTGCTGAAGAATCTGTCAATGATCTTGATGGGCCAGCCTCTGAGACATCCTGGTGCACAGACCATTTCGATACCTCTGCTTTCTGGTAAGTACATTTCAAACAGTTTAACAACTTAATGCTCAGTGATTTGTTACATGTTAGGAATTTGATTATCCTCCTTGTACTTTGAACACATAAATAGCTGCTCAGATTCACCCCCTCAGCATATACACCAGTGTCCCAAAGCTAGTAGTGCCAGTCCTGTGCTGGTTGACAAGACCTCTCCTACATCTGGTGGCTTCTAAAATTGAATGTTGAATTAAGAATCAACATCATAGCACTCTGAACATTTCCATAAGTGTTCCATCCCCAGCTTCAGCAGCAAGCGGAGTTTTAATTGCAATGGTACCAGTAACTGTCTGTATATCAGTGTCGCCTTTTCCTTGAGTGTTGGGCGTCGGCCAGATCTCCTGGTAACTCCCCGCAGTGCCATTCTCCTCAGACGAATGCTCAAAAAGTGGCTCATAAACCTATGGAAATTCCTGGAAAATATCCTTTTAAAAAAGGTTTTACACAAAACACAAAATAAACAAACAAAAAAATTATTAATCTTCATTTGTTAGTTTTTTTCTTGAAATTTATTTATCAGTAAAGATGAAAAGAGTGAAGCATTAAACGAAATAACTCTGTAGCCTAAAAAACATTATGTATATGGTGACCCATGCCATGAATTCATGGCCTCTATCACTGAGTCTTCTGGGAAAATGTGACGTCATCTTGACTTTAAAAAGGGCCATATTAGAATCAGAAGGAAACCTCCATTAATGCTGTTTTTATTAACTATTTTTCATATCCTGGGCTTTTAAACACCGCACAGGTGCACATGGAATCAATGGAATTTAAGTACGCTTTTTGAGAAAAAGTCACTGCAGACATGACAATTTATCAGCATTTGTCAGATTGTGTCTTCTCTGGGCAACAGGGTTAAATTGGATCTCTCTGTTCAGCACCTCCTGTAAATGATGTTTTAGTCAGATGATATCTTTAAGTAAGGTCTTTTCCTGTCAGCAACTGTGAATGATGTATTTAGTCAGTTATGTTTAAACAAGATCTTTCTTTTCAGCACCGCCCGTGAACGATGCTGGTGATATCACTAATGTAACCTTGGCACTGCGAACTCTGGGAAGCTTTGACTTTGAAGGCCACTCTCTGACACAGTTTGTGCGGCACTGCGCCGAGCATTATTTGGCAAGTGAACATAAGGAGATTCGAACCGAGGCAGTGATCACATGTGCCAGATTATTGTCGCCTCTTCTGCAGGTATATCTTGAAGCAATTACAATAGTATGAGAATAATTCAGAGTTAATAATCACTATTATTTCTAGGTTTTTTTAAAAATTTTATCATAAGCTAATAAAAGTGGAACTACTAAAGACAGAGAGTAAAGTTAAATTCATTTGAAAACAGATGCCTGAATAAACTGATAAGCAACATTAAATGGGATTAATTTAAAAAAAAAAGGTGAAAAAAAAAAGAAATGTCCGGACAAGCACTAGTAACAAACAAAATTGTGCTACATTGGGCACATCTGAGAAGAAGGAGACAGTCACCACACATTGACTGAAATACAAAATAAAAAAAAAATGGACTGAGTGAATAAGAATATACAAGAGAAACCCTACGGCTGATGCTGATGAGAGAGGCCAAAGATGCTGTACTGGATTCTGTCCATGATATAGAAACGATTGTGTGGGAGGACAACAGGATGACGATGATAATGATTATTGGCAACTATAGTAGAAGTGAAAGGAGGCAGAGATTAGTAGATGTGCTGTATATCAGGAATATTGAGTTTTTAGTGACCATAACAGAAATTGAACCTGCCACCCCCCACCCTCTCCCCCTTTTTTCTCTCCAGTTTTCAGAAACCCTGTTCAGTTGTAAAGCCATATACCACAGTTATATTTGTCATCAAGTGCCTTGCCGACTGGTGTGGGCGATTATGCCTCTCCACAATCTGCAATCCACAACTGAGTGTATCAGTTCATGTGTGTGTTGATACCCCTTCATGTCATGACAAAAGGCTGTCAAAAATCTTTTTGCACTGTTTTTCTCTCTTTCCAGAAATCTTTCCTATGGTCACAGTATTTTCCATTTTTAATCTTCTCATAACATGACCAAGAAATTATGTCTCTTTCTGATGTTTGTGATAAGTTGCCTTCGAGCACCTGCCTCTTTCAAAATGTCTGGGTTGCTCTTCTTAGCTGTCTAAGGAATTCTAAGTATTCTTCTGTAAAACCACATCTTCAAGGCCTCAAGATATTGTTTGCCTGTTTTTTAGTTGTCCAGGATTCACAGCCATATTTTAGAACTGGCTCTGTATAGCTTGCAAGAATTATATTACAGTCAAATTAGGGCACCAAAAAATATTTACATAGTAACTCAAATGCGTGTGGGTCTGCCTGCTCCCTCAAAATAAAAATGATGCACTGCAGGCACTGAAATGGGAAATAAATGGTTTTATGGAACTAGGACGTCAAAGAGAAAACCTAAAATGTACATTGATGAGAGAAGCTAAAAGTGCTGGACCGGATCCCATCCATGATAGTGAAGGGATTGCACAGGGTAAAATGGAATGGAGGAATTTACTGCGAGCCTTGTATCACATGCAATGGCACACCCAGTCAATGATGATAATGAGGACTACTTTTAGCATAGAGTTGGAGTGAATATACTTGGTATTAGATGCTTCTTTATGCTGAATGGTAATGTCTTATTCTGTGAGAAGTGGAGCTGTCCCAATACGTAGTTTTGCTTTATTGCATCCAGCGTTAATTTCTTCATCAATGTTAATTTTTTCTTGCCTTTAATTATGTTTACAAACAAATATTCTAATGATGGCTTTACATGCACTGTTTTTAGCTGTTGTCAAGGCAACAGGGGCATGTCAGTATGACTGCAATGACTACAGTGGCAGAAGTCTTGAACAAGCTGCTTGTTGTAGGCATCACTGACTCCGGTTAGTGTAATCTCCAATCTAGTTTGTGTGTAACTGATTGTGGAAGGTTTATGGACCTGACTCTGGTTTATATGTAACTGATTGTGGAAGGTTTATGGACCTGACTCTGATTTGTATGTAATTGATTGTGGAAAGTGTATGGACCTGACTCTGGTTTGTTTGTAACTGATTGTGGAAAGTGTATGGACCTGTCTCTGGTTTGTTTGTAACTGATTGTGGAAGGTGTATGGACCTGACTCTGATTTGTATGTAACTGATTGTGGAAGGTGTATGGACCTGACTCTGATTTGTATGTAACTGATTGTGGAAGGTGTATGGACCAGACTCTGATTTGTATGTAACTGATTGTGGAAAGTGTATGGACCACACTCTGATTTGTATGTAACTGATTGTGGAAGGTGTATGGACCTGACTCTGGTTTGTATGAAATTGATTGTGGAAAGTGTATGGACCTGACTCTGGTTTGTGAATACTTGATTCTGACAAGTTTATGAAGCTGACTAATTAGTGTTTTCTTCTTCTAAATCTGAGTGCAGCTGCCTGAGAGGTGAGCAGCGAACAGGCTGCATACAAATAAGCCAAATCTGTAAAATGGATGTGCACACACACAACCTTTGGAACAAAAATTCTGCAACAAGACCAGAGTCCATAAGTGGATGAATAACCAGAACTTTCCATTACAGTTTACAGCTGGTGAATGCTAAGAAAAAAGAAGAATGGATAGTTTATGATACAGACTTTTGTTTGTGTGTAGCTGATTCTGGAAATTGTATAGAACTGACTCTTATAGGTGTAATATTTATTTTTGAAATGCAAGGATAACTTCTGAGAAGTCTCACAATGAATTTTTGGGCCCATCAAAGATGCAGACAGCAGAGAATTGAGAGTGAGAAGCAAGAAATACATATTTCAACCACCACTAATTACTGGCATCATAAGGCATAAAGACTGCAATGGTGCGAGCAAATAGAGAGAATGGCAGACAATCGAGAAAATAAACTGCACACAAAAGATTTGAATAGGGGTAGATCAGGAGATAACAGTAGGGAGAGAATATCCAGGCAGACTTACAGGCACTTAAGAGTCTCTTGATGGGAAAAAAAAAGCCGGTCACAGAGATGAAAAGAGGTGCATGATATCTGCAGCAGTGAACCTAAACAGCTCTGAATAGGAATGTAGTGTAAGCATAAAGTTCACCAATAAATGTATAAGTAAAAAAGCTGCGGTTACTACCTGTATTTACCACTTTTTGGGTGTCGGTAGGCATGAGGATTTAGAGCAGCTTGCTAGTTTTGTCACCATTGGCTGTGCAGATTAGGATGTTATTCCCCCCCCCCCCTTCAGGAAAACATATTTTCTTCATGTTCTCTAGAACTAGTCCTGTTCCAGAAACTGAGTGTTGTGTACACATCCGTTTTACAGGTTTGGACTCATTTGTATGCAGACTATTGGTTCCTTGCCACTCAGGCAGATTTACTGCTAGTTTGTAGGAAGCTCCCAATTAGTCGACTCTTGCGACATGCTTTTGAGCAGGCATTGGGTCTGTTCTTGTTTTCTCCCACAATGGAGCCCCGGAACCCACACGGGGAGAAAACCTGTAACTTTCAGGGGATTCAGATGTGGGTTTCCCACATCAGAGCCTGGCGTTCTTAACTGTTTGACCAGTCACTCCTCCGTGTGTAATAGATTGGTAAATATATAGTTTATCATAGCATTTAAAGGTCACAGCAGATCAAATGCTATTGCTGTTGGAGATTGCATGGGGAGAAACAAATTCACTCCATGTCATTTGATAAAGAACTTGATGGATTATGATGATGAAATAACACATTTGAAATGCCATACAGCTTATACTGTTCTTTATATATTCATAGATGCAGACATTAGATACTGTGTGCTGACCTCACTGGACGAACGCTTTGACCCTCACCTTGCTCAGGCTGAAAACCTCAGTGCTCTCTTTATTGCTTTAAATGATGAAGCATTTGAGATTCGTGAGCGAGCCATCTGTATGATCGGTAGACTCAGCTCCAAGAACCCAGCCTATGTCATGCCATCTCTGAGAAAGGTCCTAATTCAGGTAGGCATTGTTCCTGTTTGGGTTTCCACTGACTCCCATCCCCTACAAGCTGTCGTATTAGGCGTTAATTAGGGATATTTCCTTTAGAGTCAGAGTGCATCTGAAAGGCAAAGAACTGACAGCCTGCATTACAAATAAGCAAGATCTGTAAAACGGATGTGCATGCAAAACTGAAATTCTGGAACAGGACCAAAGTCTAGTTAAGTGGAAAAACAAACAGAACTTTCCACCATAATTTACAGCAGTTGAAAGCTAAGACGGTGACGAATTTAGGCATTAAGTTTTGAGATTTGTGGCTTGTAGATCCAGAGGTTTTCTAGCCACAACATTAATATTTGCCATTACTTTTAACTAATATATGTATATTGTTTTTCATATTTCTTCCACTTTAACCTCTCAATCTGTCAACTATCTTATATTTTACCTGTCTGGGTGGGCTACTTCCTGTTTGTTTATCTGCAATGAAAGCTTTTACTTCAATGAGGGCACATATCATTGAGCCTTTGTTGTTTTTAAAAACTTGGATGTATATTTTGACGAGCTGACTTCATTTTTTTAATAAAATAGAATTTTTTTTGTTTAAAGTAGTCGCAAATCATTTATAGGATGTTGCAGAAACAACCTCATCCTTTTTTTGGCTGTGATTTTGCTAGTCAGTTTTACAGTTAGTTTCCCGTTGCTTTCTAAACAGTTGACATTACATACTACCATTGTTGAAATCAACACAAAGCGTTCTGCTGTCAAATCACCTGCAGTTGGAATCAAACTAGGTATTTCAGAATTATAGAGTGAGTGTTGCAGCACCTAAGTCAAGGACAACAGAAAGTTATATTCAGTTTTTTAAAATGTAGTCGTATCATTGTCCATGTTATTGTACATTGGTGAAGGCTGTCTAGCGATAATGTTTATTTTGTTGTTCATGATTGGTTTGTGTGTGTGTGTGGGAAAAAGGGGGGGGGGGGGGGCTGACCAGTTCTCCTCCTTGGTTAGGTTGATTTGCTCATGGCTTCTACAACTTGTTTTGTGTTTGTTACAGAAGTTATTGAGTTCCAGTCTACCAAGAGGTGAAGAAAAAATGCTGGCAGTGGATTGGACACACGTTGAGAAAATCTGAGAACAATATAACCGGAATGTCTTTGCACTGGAACCCTCAAGGGTATGAAATAAAGGAAGACAAAAAAAAACATAAAGGAAGCTAGAGAGTGAAGTTAACAAAAAAAGATTGGGAGGACATGAGGAGAGCTGCATTGATAGCAATGGATGTGGCATGAGTTGGTTGAGGGACTATGCTCTATGGGGTTTAGAAAGGCGAAGACAGCAGTTGTTACAATAATGATGCTGAAAATTTACCTTGTAGTAATTTTCTATTGAGCTCATGCTTTCCATTTTACTGACAAGTTTAAAAGTTCTCTACATTTTGTTTTTCTTCTTCTGCCCCTTTTCTTCCACAGTCTTCTTTTTGATAATTTTTGGTTTTGATGTGACAGATTCTGACAGAACTGGAACATAGCGGCATTGGGAGAAACAAGGAACAGGCAGCCAAGATGTTGGGGCACCTAGTATCAAACACAGCCAGACTCATCAAACCGTACATGGTTCCAATCATGGGGGTGAGTGTATTTGGTTTTTGCACCTGGTGTCAAATCAGACTCATCAGACCAGATTGGGTTCCAGAATGGGGGTAAGTATATTTGGTTTTTTCCCCTGGTGTCAGACCAGACTCTTCAAAAATATGTGGTTTCCATCATGGTGGTAAGTATATTCATGTTTGTTTCAGGTTCTTGTAGTGGACTTTGTAGACAAGATCTTGTGGCATTTTTAATCACATTTCATTGTCACAGAAAAAAGAAAATGCTTATTCGTGTCATTGAAGCATATGGTACATATCCTTATACAGCAAGTCGGCACTCAGTGGGTGATGCAGTTAAAAACACACCAACTTCTTTACCCGAACAACACACCATCTTCTTTACATGAACAACACACCAACTTCTTTACCTGAACAACACACCAACTTCTTTACATGAACAATGCACCAACTTCTTTACCTGAACAACACACCAACTTCTTTACCCGAACAATGCACCAACTTCTTTACCCGAACAATGCACCAACTTCTTTACCTGAACAACACACCATCTTCTTTACATGAACAACACACCAACTTCTTTACATGAACAACACACCATCTTCTTTACATAACCAACACACCATCTTCTTTACATGAACAACACACCATCTTCTTTACATGAACAAAACACCATCTTCTTTACATGAACAACACACCCTTCTTTACATGAACAACACACCATCTTCTTTACATGAACAACACACCAACTTCTTTACATGAACAACGCACCATCTTCTTAACATGAACAACACACCATCTTCTTTACATGAACAACACAGCATCTTCTTTACATGAACAATGCACTAACTTCTTTACATGAACAACACACCATCTTCTTTACATGAACAACACACCAACTTCTTTACATGAACAATGCACCATCTTCTTTACATGAACAACACACCATCTTCTTTACATGAACAACACACCATCTTCTTTACATGAACAACACACCATCTTCTTTACATGAACAACACACCATCTTCTTTACATGAACAACACACCAACTTCTTTACATGAACAACACACCATCTTCTTTACATGAACAACGCACCAACTTCTTTACATGAACAACACACCATCTTCTTTACATGAACAACGCACCATCTTCTTTACATGAACAACACACCATCTTCTTTAGATGAACAACACACCAACTTCTTTACATGAACAACACACCATCTTCTTTACATGAACAACGCACCAACTTCTTTACATGAACAACACACCATCTTCTTTACATGAACAACACACCGACTTCTTTACATGAACAACGCACCATCTTCTTTACATGAACAACACACCATCTTCTTTACATGAACAACACACCAACTTCTTTACATGAACAACACGCCATCTTCTTTACATGAACAACACACCATCTTCTTTACATGAACAACGCACCAACTTCTTTACATGAACAACACACCATCTTCTTTACATGAACAATGCACCAACTTCTTTACATGAACAACACACCATCTTCTTTACATGAACAACACACCAACTTCTTTACATGAACAATACACCAACTTCTTTACATGAACAACACACCATCTTCTTTACATGAACAACACACCAACTTCTTTACATGAACAACACACCAACTTCTTTACATGAACAATGCACCAACTTCTTTACATGAACAACACACCATCTTCTTTACATGAACAACACACCAACTTCTTTACATGAACAATGCACCAACTTTTTTACATGAACAATGCATCAACTTATTTACCTGAACAATGCACCAACTTCTTTACCCGAACAATGCACCAACTTTACCTGAACAATGCACCAACTTTACCTGAACAATGCACCAACTTCTTTACCTGAACAATGCACCAATTTTACCTAAATACTGCACCAATTTTACCTAAATACTGCACCAACTTCTTTACCTGAACAATGCACCAACTTCTTCACCTGAACAATGCACCAACTTTACCTGAACAACACACCAACTTCTTTACCTGAACAATGTACCAACTTCTTTACCTGAACAATGCACCAACTTCTTCACCTGAACAATGCACCAACTTTACCTGAACAATGCACCAACTTCTTTACCTGAAGCACACAGAAACGTCTGTACTTTCCAGGACATCTACTGTCCTTATTTTAAGCAGGGTTGACAGAGGAGGGAGCTGTAGGTCGTTTATAAAAAAAAATATGCCTCAGTTCAGATTCAAACGGAAGCTGTATCTAGTGTGCTGTCAACTATTATTATTGATAACAATCAGAAGCCTTTCACCAGATACCATGACCTAATCATGTCTGTGTACTCAAAATTCTACAGTTGTGTTCCTGTTGTGTTTCAGACACTGATTCCCAAACTGAAGGATCCAGATCAGAATCCTGGTGTAGTGATCAGTGTATTGCAGGCAATAGGAGAACAAGCTCAGGTATCATTGTTTGGTGTCTTTTAATTACTGAGTTTGGTATGCAGAAGTGGACCATGGACTGTTGGTTTAGTTGATTAGTGAATAATTGTATGGAAGTGACAGAGATGTGGTTTTATAAAGAAATGAGAACACTCTCTGGACAGGTTAAAAGAGTGATGAAGATGCCTTGAAAGAAATTCACTCACAAAGAGCACTGATTGGAGACAATTTACATTCAAGTCAGAAGAAAACTGGGATACATCGTGATTGAGCAAAGGTTGGAGGGGAAAAGAGGCAGAGGGAGACAGACAGAACAAACAAACAAACTTTATTTTTAAAGGTTCACAAATTTGGCATGCAGGCCTGTTTTACATTCGGCCCTTCCATGCACCCATCTTTCACACAGCAGTTGTATTTTATCAATAAAGCATGTCATGTTCATATAAAAATATGCATATCATGAATATCAAGAAAAAAGAAAAAAGCATGGGTAGTAAAATGCATGCACACACTCACGCATACGCACACACCCACAGTGTTCACTCATATACAAACCCACATACATACGCAAACACCTCCCCCCTGCATATACGCACACACACATACACATGCCGCACACATATAAGCATACATACGTACATAAGAAACACACACATGCACCTAGAGACACAGACACGCATGCACATACAGACACACACACACATAATCCACATAACATGCACAGAATTGCATGCACATACACACACATGCTCACATGCACAGACACACTCACATGCAGACACACACACACAGAGACACACACAGACACATGCACACAGATACTAAGGCAGACACACACACACAGATACTTAGGCAGACACACACATGCAGACACACATACATAGACACAAACAGATACATACAGACACACACACACACAGATGCAGATACACATGCACACACACATGTACATACGCACACACACACCCACATGCAGAAACACAGACATCACACCCACAGACATACGCATGTATGCACACCCACACACAGAGAGAGGGAGAGAGGATACTGGAAAATTTGACATTGTGGTATGAAAGATCATCTGTGTCAGAAGTGATTTAAAGTACACGAGACAGGTTATGGATGGACATGACTACCAAAGCCATACAGCATGGATAAGAAGAAGCAGATGATTATTGTTTCCTTTATGAATTTTGATACACAGTATTTCTGTTAACTTTATAGCACTTTTAAGAACTGGTAAGAGAATTTGATCGTTATGACAATGGTTGTAGTCTGAAAAAGTTCTGTGGCATTCTCTTCTTTTTTTTTCTGGTCCTGAGGCTCCACTTTGACTGTATGCTGTCCCCTTTGTTTGTAATCTTCTTTTTTTTCCCCTTATCATACTATCACTCTTCCTATTCTTGTTTTCCTCCTCTTCCTCTTTCTCCTCATGCTGAAATTATTTGCTGCTGTCATTACATTTAACAATAAATTATGTAGAAGGTAAAGTATGATGGTAATTCATGTCAGTCAGTTCAGGCTCTTGCTGATGGTTTTTTGATCGGTCTCTTTGTCCCCTTTGGGCTTCTACCTAAACATTTACCATACCATCCTGAGATTCAGAATGATCTCAGTCCCGAGATTGAAGAATCTCAATCCTGGATGGCATACCAGCAAGACAGATTGCCCCGTTCACCCTCCAGTAGGTTATAATTAGGTCACTCATAATGTCTACACCAGCCTCTTTTAACCTGCTGTCCTATGTGGGTAAGGATGATGATAATGTTGATGATAGAAATCAAGGTGTTTGAATGTGTCACAAATGCTAAATATAACACAGAATGTGACTAGAAGGCTCAATGGAGAGATTAGAAAAGACACATACATACAAACACAACTGAAAATTTTGACCAAAGTCTTTGTCAGCGAAGCACTAAATACTGCACACACTGTGACTAGATAACATAACAGGCAAGACAACAGAGCTAATAAATAAAAACCAACAAGGTCAACAGGAAACTAAGAAGTACGTAATTAGGGGTAAAGTTTGAATATGAAGGCTATAAAAGGTAACGAAATAAATAAAAGTATTATAGCACACATACAAACACCATGTGTGTATACACCATATATATATATATATATATATATATATATATATATATATATATATATATATATATATATATATATATATATATATATATATATATATATATACATATCTATATATACATATATGTGTGTGTGTGTGTGTATGTATGTGTGTGTGCCCGCAAATGTGATTGTATAGATGTATGTATTTATGTCACCCTATAGTTGCTCCACTCCTGTGCCAACAGAAAAAACACATAAAATTACCGTCACCGTTCCCTTGTGGACAAATTGACGCAGACTGCAGTCTCAGCATTTACATACATAAGGCAGCCATCAGAAGTGCTAACACAAACAGTCTGACTTTAGAAATGCAGTTCATCATCAGCGGAAACAGCAGTTACAAACAGATCAGCAGTATTACACACAGTTAATTTGAATCACATAAGGCGCCACCAGTTCTAAGGCAAAAGGCCACTTGTCATTTTCTAAATCTACAGTTCACAACACTTTGCTGGCCACGGTAAAAAAAATTTCAAAATGAAATCTGCAGCTGGTGTATGTATATACCTAGGGCGGATGTTAAATACTTTGTTGTGATATTCCCAGGTGAGTGGAGCAGATATCAGCAAGTGGATGGATCAACTGTTACCCATTATACTGGACATGTTACAGGATTCCTCCTCTTTGCAGAAACGAGAGGTAGGATTCTTATTCTACAGTTTGTCATATAAAGTTGTTTGGATTTTGTTGTAGTTGGATTGCATGGATTATATTTGCTTAAAGATAAACAAATTGTACATGATACAAAGATTAAACAGATTGTATACAGGATTCCTCTTCTTTGAAACTCCTGACTGTCCCAGTAGAGACAAAAATACATAATACATGTGATCTTTAAATCAACCATGTGCTATGTGTCAGACTTCAGCATTTAACAAAGAACATGATATGATAGAAAACTGACCAACTGCAAAATGAGATGTTTAAGAAAGGCCGTGAACAGACTAGAAGAGGTCATGTGAGAAACAAAAGAAATGACCAAAATATTTTTCAACAATACCTAAAATAAATTCATTGAAAAACATACTGAAATGGTTTGACCATTTAATGAGAATGCATCTAGTGATGCCAGCAACTAGAGTGTACAGTATGAAAGTAGAAACACCAACACAATATAGTTGTCTATATAGACCTGACCAGGGTAGCTGTCTATATAAACCCAACCAAGGTAGTTGTCTATATAGACCTGACTAGTGTAGCTTTCTCTATAGACCTGACCAGGGTAACTCTATATACACCTGACCAGGGTAGCTGTCTATATAAACCCAACCAAGGTAGTTGTCTATATAGACCTGACTAGTGTAGCTTTCTCTATAGACCTGACCAGGGTAGCTGTCTATGCAGACCCGACCATAGTAGCTGTCTATATAGACCACTCTTTAGAGAAATTAAAGGTAAAGAACCCCTTTCACATTAGTGGCATGTCTGGCATATGATGCTAGTCTCATATCTTCATAGACTAGTTAGCACTCACTAGGCGAGGAGGTTAACATCATGCTGGCACCTTTACTTCCCAGGGCATCACTTGGTGCCAATTCTAGGAAGGTTAAGATCGACTTTGTTGCACTGGTTATTCGAAATGGCTGTCTTTCTTTGTAGAAAAGCTAGCCGCCTGCCGAGACCGCCACACAAAGCACAAAATCTAGAGCACCGGCGAGTCCCCAGGGGTCTCCATTAAAATTCTACTCGTGAACTAAAGGGTGAAACCGTAAAGTGAACCCATGACCTTTAAAGCAAAAGGCTAATGGCTTGACCACTTCGCCACAGAGACTTGGTAACCAAGGACATTTCTTACAAATCCAACCATTGTTGATTCAGACCCAAGACTTTTGGGTAGACAAGGGAGAATCTGGCCACTGTGTTACGGGAGCTCTCACAGTCTGCTCTTTACTTTATGGCTAACATGCACATGAGAGCTTCTATATTTGGCACTTATTTGAGAATGCTAGGTATTAAATCAGTACTCAGATGAACACAGAAGAAGAAGAAGTCAGTACTCAAAGATTCTTACTTTTGTTATCCATATCAACATTCTAGAACATTGGTCTTACTAATTTGTGTTACATACTTCGATGAGGGTGCCATCTCGGTGTTTCCATGTTCAGCGTACCCAGCAAGAGTTGATTGGCATATCTTTTTGCTTTTGTTGTTGTGTATGTCCCTCAGGTGATTTCTGCATGCTTGTCTTTGTTTGATACCCATTTTCAACAGGCAGTTCGTCATCTCTGAGTCCTTTGTCTCAGCTTTGGCTCAGCAGGATGAAGACATTATCAGGTTGCTTTTAAACACAATTTTCCAAAGATGATTTCCAAAAGTGTATTTTAACCCAATACTTGTTGAGTTAAAGGTTGACCTCTAACTCACTTTCTGTGACCCTCGTTTGAATAATTGTGTGTGTATAGACTTGACTTGGTCTTAATGATTACAACAGGTTGCTCTGTGGACCCTAGGGCAGCTTGTAGAAAGCACTGGGTCAGTGGTAGAGCCTTACAGCAAGTATCCCAACCTGCTAGACGTGCTGCTGAATTTTCTGAAAACTGAACAGTCCATCACCATCAGGAGGGAGGTATATCTCTGTGATTGTTTGCTCCTGTTGACCCATTGTTGATTATATAATATCACTAGCGTACAGGGGTTAGGGCTGGGAGCTGTCTTTTTCTCTTCCTCCTCCTCCTTTATCTTCTCCATCTCCTCCTCATCCTTCTCATCCTCCTCCTCCTCCTCCTCCTCTTTTTCTTCTTTTTCTTCAGCTACTGTTAACTCCAGTGAAAAGTTCTTGTTGTTTATCCATCTCTGGACTTAAGTGCTCTTCCAGAACGTGAATGTTGCATGCACATATGCTCTACAGATCTGACTTATTAGTGTACAAATTGTCAGTTCCTTGCATCTCAGGAAAATGCACTTTGAACAGAGACCCCAATTATGCTCGACTCTTGTGATATGCTTCCTGGGGAGGCAGTGGGTCTATTCACCACAGTAGGAGCCTGAACCCCACACGGAGAGAGAGCTGAATGAGCGGTCCTGAACTCCCGTGCTCTAATTGTGGAAGACTTCTAAACGTAGTCCCACTTGCCATCACCATAGGCTGTGATTCCCATGCCTACCCATAGCACAGTGTAACACTGTTTTCTGCACAGATGGAAAGGTGCCACAAGGGTTAGAATGCAGCTGCAACAACTACCACCACAGGCATGGTGTGAAAGCAAGAGGGCATCCAAGGAAGTGGATTGATATTAAAGAAATTATACATTGACACTGAATCATAATAGCTAGTGCTACCTATCAAGCAAGGGATCACAGTGTGTACCACTCTCAACAGCAGAAGTTGAATTTGATGATGATTTGGTGATAAGGATAACAAGGGTACAAAAGAGGAGTTCTGTACAGATGTTTTTTGTATATTTGCTTGCCTATACTGAATCTTAGTTGGTTTGAGGTCTTTTGGGATTAATGTTGTTTATTAGTCTGCTTAAAGTGAATGATTGTTAGTAATATGAGCTCACAAAAGTAAAAGAGAAGACATTTATAAGTATGTATGGTACATGTTGGTTTGCCTGCATTCAATGCTTGTTGGTAATATAAGCTCAACACAGCACCAGAAAACATATTATTTGATGATTGGAATGCAAGGGGAAGAGCCAGTCACTTTTTGCTTGAGACTGAATGGAATATTCATGTACATTTTTTAGTTCAGGCTATATTGGCATAGGTGTGCCACTAGACCATAGAAACATTTTCTGTTGATTTGCCAAAATTTTAAGTATAAGTATGATCTCAGAGGACTTTTTATATCTATATTTCTGTCTCTGCAACTCTTTACTTCTCCATCTCCCCTCCTCTATCAGTTTCATCTGTGTTCTTTTTTTTTTTAAATCCCCGCACTTCTTCCCCTTCTGTATCAGGCTCTCTCCCCCTTTCTTTTCTCTACTACATGGCTTCTCTCATTCCCCCTCTCTCTGTGCTCTCTTCTTTTACTACTTTTTAGGGCGGTGAAGAGCAAGAAGTTCTTGAGACTGAAAATTTAAGGCTGAATGGCTAGTGCATTCGCCACGAACTGTGCAGGTTAGGATGTTTTTTTTTGGCCAGCGGTGGAAAAGTCTCCATCACCACCAAGGATTCGAATCCGCAACTTCCACCTGAAAGCACAGTCCTGACCATCTAGCATTTGACCATTTAAATTTAACATTAAAACACTAGATAATTTTGAAGTGTCAGTCCAGTCTCTTCTTTAGTGCTGACTCCAAATGTTTAAATCTAAAAAGGTGATACGTGTACTCGGCTTACTGGGTGCTTTAGACCCGCATAAGCACAGGATGAACCTGGGAGTTATCAAGGATTCGGAGGCTACAGGCAGCAAGTCTGAGCATAAAGTTGGCTCTCAGGACCCTGGCACAGGAGGTGAGTTTGAGTTGTTGGAGGGATGGCTGGTGGGGGAATCCTATAGAACAGTGGTTCCCAATTAGATACGACCTGTAGACCCCCTTTTTTTTTGAAGGTCTGTCATGGATCCCCTACTTTTTAAGCCATAAAAAAAAAAAAATTAATCTGTATTAGAATTTATTTTCAAAAAATGGTTTTTGAGATTTTACTAAATGATATCACAGACCCCTTTAATTTGTCATGAATTAGAACTACTGCTATAGAAGACTGCGTTGAACGTCTAAGCTCTTTCGCTCTTGTAATGCATCAGTCAGGTCACCATGGAGAACAGTATTATACAGATACAGACCAGAGGTCGACCTCGCAGAAATGGAGCACAGAAAAATCAGAGACACTGGTAAGTACTTTATACGAAGCGAACAGAAGGGCCTGTTCCAGAGATATCTTCCTGCCCTGACGCTGCAAGGCATTCCGAGAGTAGAGACAAGAAAAAGAAAGTTTTTTTTAAAATTTTTTTGCCCCTGACAGAAAAAAAATTCATGGCTATACCGGCTATTCAAACTCGGGTCACTGGCATGAGAGCCGAGTGTTCTTAACCATTTGACCAGCTTAAGATTAGTTATTGTCCTTTAGTTTAGTAATTCCTAAACAGTTGTGTCATTCGGAAGTTAATGGCTTGTCGCGCTGTTTTATTCAGAGGTGAGCACAAGCGAACTAATGAGCTCATGCAGCACCCTGGAGGAGTTCTACCCAGCCATTGCCATCCACCTGCTGATGAGGATCATCCGAGACCCATCCTTGTCCCAGCACCACAACATGGTGGTTCAGGCCATCACCATCATCTTCAAGTCCATGAACATCAAGTGTGTGCCCTACATTCAGACTGTCATTCCAGCGTACTTGACTGTCTTCCGGACAGCAGATCCCAGTTTTAGAGAGGTCAGTATTAGTTGTTGTGTTTCCCCTATATAGCTTACTGGCTGATCCAGGGGGGGGGGGGGGGGGGGGGGGGGGGGGGGGAGATAACACACCCACTATTTCTTCACAAATATGTTGTAACCGATGGCTAATTAAGGTTAGCTGAAATCACTTGTTTTGAGCTGGAAAGTTACAGCTATCACAGGCTAGCTGGAAACCATTAATACGATGCCCCAACCACCATTTTAAGGGTAAATCAGAAGAAGAATATATCATAAAAGATCAAGTATCCTTGAATGGTCAGAATTAGGTATCATAGAAGATCAGTAGTCTTAGTCAGAATTAGATTTTAAAGATTATGTGGCTCTGAAAGGTCAGAATTAGACATAGAAGATCAGATAGCCTATAGAGATCAGAATTAGATCTCGTAGAAGATCAATTGTCCTAGATAGGTCAGAATTAGAAATATAAGATCAAGTGGCCCAGAGAGGTCAGAATTAGATATTTTATAAGACCAATAATCTTAGATATTTGACATAGAAGATCAAGTGGCCTGGAGAGGTAAGAAGTAGATATTATAGAAAATCAAGTGGCTAGAGAAGTGAGAATTAGATTTCTTAGATGATTCATTGGAGGTCAGTGCCCGAAAAGAGGTCAGTATTATATATTATAGTAGATAAATTGAATGAGGGTCAGCATTAGAAAAAGATTAAGTGGCTGAGAGCTGTCAGTATTAAATATAGATCGAATGGCCCAAATAGGTCAGTATTATACATAGGTAATAAAATTGGTCAAGAGAGGTCACTGTTCGAAATCATGGAAAATTTAGCGACTAAGGGAGGTTAGTATTAGATTATCATAGGCAATTAGCTTTACAGATGGCTCTGTGTTGAGGGGCAAAAAAAGTGCATGATGTTTCATAGCAAAGGCAAATAGACGTCGCCTAGAACAGCAAAACCTTGCATATGATATCACAATGTCTAGTTTGAGAATGGACATGGAGGCAGTCTCTGCTGCCTTCCGCTGGCTTGAGAATCAGCTGTACACACATGCCATGATTGTAACTGACTCACAGAGCATGTTAAGAAAGGTGAAAACAGGCATGCTTCATGCAGAGTGGCAAACATCACTTCAGAGGTCTCGGGTAGTTAGCATCCTTTGGATATTTTCTCCAGGTCAGGTCAGTGTGGTGGGAAATAAGCAGGCAGATGGACTGATTGTATGACAAGTTAAATATTGTAAGCACCCTTTGGGATTGAGTAAACAGTGCGGAGGCGCAGATAGATCACTACCGTCTCTGGAGAATGGCGCTGTGAGGAGGTACCAGGCGCTCTGGCCGACGCTCAACACTCAGGGGAAAGATGATATGGACATACAATCAGACGGTTACTGGTACCATCGGAATTGGAACTCTTCGCTAGCTGCTGAAGATGGGGACTGAGCACTAATGGGAGTATCCCTGGTGCTGTGATGTCAATTCTTAATTTAACAATGAACATTTTATCATAGGCGATTAATTGGCCTAGATTCACATAGTATAAACCTGTATTCTTTCTCTGAAATTTTTTTTAACCCATGCCGGTCTACCAGAAAGTTCACCCAGTTATGTAGCGGATAGAGTGGGAACCAAACATAAGCTAAATGAATGTTATTGCATCGCTTCGTCTCTTAGAAATGATGTTCAAACCAAATATATAAGATTCTCGAAACCTCTAAGCAGTCGATGCAGTGTTAGCTAAGTTTTTTAGTTTGATAACATTGTTTTTGATAAATAAAATGATATCTATTTTTTTATTTGTTTTTGTTTTAACCATTAGGTGGTCTGCGAAATATTTCTTCTATTGTTGCAGCCCACGGATGTAAAAACATTACAACATTATTGCTGTACGTTATATTTGCTGAATTGATCATTTTTCTCTGTCTCATCTACAAGACCACAGACAGCAGTATAAAAAGTAAAGGACCCTTTTTATAATGGGGCATGTGATGCAAGACCTGTATTTTTATAGACCGTCGGCACTAGATGGGTGATGTGGTCAATAAACTGGCCACCTTTACTTCCTAGGTCATTTTCCAGTGCACATTTTAGGTTGGGTCAATTTTTGGAGCCACAGTCAATTTTAAAAAAATGTCTAGTGTGGGTTCAAACTCAACAATTTCCGGTCGGCAAACAGTCATCTAGCCACTACACTTTAGCAGCTCCCAGACAACAAGGTATATGACTAAACAACCCCACGAACAGTGTTTCATAACAACAGAATATCTTAGACCTGACACTGACTGTACATCTAAGAGTGTCTGACAAGAGTGGAGAGTGCTACAGCCGACAAATCATTCTGGTACCAATATTTGGGAATGGAAATAAAATCCATTTGGTTTGGTGGGGGCGTTGAACTTAAAGTATTGTCAAAGAAGGCAACTGGCCACTTTTAAAGAAACAGTGGAAGTATTTCCTCTTGTTTTTGTTCTCCTTGCCAGTAGTTTTCAGATAAGAAAGCCACAAGGTCTATGAAATCTGTGGTGTGACGTATGTCTTTCATTGTTCTTTACAGCTTGGTTTCCATTAGAATACCAACTAGCCAAACCTAAGATCCTTCTACTGCATGTGCCTTTCCACGTGGGCAAGTGAATGCCCAATCTTGAATTTGTAGAAGCATTTGAAATTTGAGTTTTTAACTTGTATGTGAACATTCTTGTCAATGTATCTCCAGTTCCTATTTCAACAACTGGGTGTGATCATTGCCATAGTGAAACAGCACATCAAAAACTACCTGGGTGACATCTTCACTCTCATTAAGGTAAGTCTTCCAGCAACAGATGATTTATGAGAAGTAAAACCAGCACTCTGTTGTCATCGAAACACAGTTACATGTATTCTGACCGGCGTCTTATGGCAATTTTTGGGGTCCCATTTGGGAGAAATAAATAAACTGCTCATCCTAATAAACATGTTGTAAAAATCAACTCATTCCTTTGCAGTCTGAGTGCATCTGCCTGAAAGGCAAAGAAATGAAAATAAGCCAGGCATGTAAAACAGATGTGCACACAAAACTTACACTCTGTAACAAGACTAAACTCCAGAAATGGAGGGACTACTAGAATTTGCAGCTGTTAAACAGGAAGAAGAAGAAGATGTAGCAATACTCATTACAGCTACCTGAAAGTCAGTCAGTCTCTTGCCAGATATGCCATCTCATGCACTTTCCTTCCAAAGGTGTCGTGGATGTCTTATGCTGGTCGCCCCTTTTCCCATTCGCTGGTACAATGCCTTTTTTGCTACTACTGTTTCCAATCCACACTGGCGGGTGATTTAGCTAAAATATTTTATAGTTTCCAGAGACAAGATGATGTTTACTGGCCAATCCTCCTTGATATTGAGACTTTTTAAGATGACAGTATTTGTAATTTTCTTGGTCTGTAGTGTATTAAGAATTTTTCTTTAGTATTTCAGCTCAAAGGCCCCTTTTTTTCTTCTTTAATGACTGCAAGACTGTCCACAACTTACATCCATAGGTTGCTACTGGGAATATGCACGCACTCATTTTTTAAATATTTTTACCATCTAGAAGTTTTTTCATTATGTACTTTTTTATTTTTTATTAATTTTTTTTTATTGCTAAATTTTACTTTTATTTTGATTTAGACATGAAACAGAAAGAAAATAAGAATGTTTCCTTCATGGTGTTGAATATTATAAAGCGTTAAAAGGTTTAAAAAAAAAGTTCTTTTTCATTACGGCAGAAGTCGGAGTGCGTCTGCCTTAGAGACCAAGTAACAACATTCTGCATTCATATAAGCCAGATCTGTAATGGATGTGCACGCAAAACTCAAGGTCTGGAAAAGACTAAAGTCCAGAAGTGGGCAAAAAACTAGAACTTTATGCTGGAGCTGACAACCAGTGAATGCTGAGAAAGGAAGGAAGGATTGCAACAGGTTTAACCTTTTGTGGCGCAGTCTCTGTCTACAGAGCACTTGTTGGACTGCTGAATGTATTGTGCAAAACGGAAAGCTGAAGAACGGCCATCATTTCCCCGATTCTTTGAATCATAAATCACAGGACAGAGTTCAAAATCAGACGCACAAACTTCACACCACAAACAACTTAAAACTTGGCCTTTGAAACTCATCTTCTTCTTCTGCCTTTCTAACCCCCAGTGGAGCATAGGCCCTCAAGCAACTCATGCCACACTGGTCTTTCCTTTGCTAAAGCAGGCAGATCTTCTCATGCCCTCCCCATCTTTTTAACTTCACTCTCTAGCTGCCTTCTCCATGTGTTTTTTGGTCTTCCCTTATTTCTAGTTACAATGTTGTCAGGCTTTCTCAACGTGTGTCCTATCCAACATCATCATCTTTTCTTCACCTCTTTGTCCACTGGAACCTGATTAGTTCTCTCCAAAAGCTCTACATTAGTGATTCTATGATACTATTTAATTCCCTCTATTTTTGCAGGCACCAGTTAAGAATGTTTATAGTTTATTAGTAATTGCCTTTGTTGTTTTCCATGTTTCTGCTTCATACAGCAGTACTGATGTGACAGAATTACACATTTTCAGTTTAGCATTAGTTTTTTTTTTCTTTTGACCTCCGCAAATTCCCTAGTGCTATGGAAGCTCCTCTTGCCTTTTGTATTTGTATTTTAAACTATTATTGTTTTGAAAAACACATTTCTGTGTGTGTCCTCCACTGTTGAAGAACATGTATAAGCACAGCTGGAGTTATGCTTGTGATGGCGGTGGTGATATGTTATTTTCCTGTGTATGGAAACTTATAGGACACCCTGTATTCTTCATATTACTACAGTTTTCATTAATCTTCTATGCTTCCATTGCAGGAGTATTGGTCCCCATCCACATCCATGCAGAGTGCCATCATCATCCTGATTGAGCAGATTGTCAATGCTTTGGGCACTGAGTTCCGCATCTACCTTCCACTCATCATTCCACAGATACTGAGAGTCTTCATGCATGATACAAGTGAAAATAAAATTGTCACATCAAAGGTATGCTTCTTCGCTTTCACTCATGGCTGTAAACTCTGGCGGAAAGTTCTGGGTGTTTTTCCACCTCTGGACTTTAGTCTTGTTCCAGAACATGAGTGTTTGTGTGCACATCCATCTAACAGATCTGACTTAACTTATGCAGATTGTTGGTTCCTTGCCTGTCCTGCAGATGCTCTCCGACTTCAGTTAGTCATCTTTTACGATAAGCTTGTTGGGGAGGCAGTGGGTCTATTCTTGTTTTCCCCACAATGGGGCCCCAGAACCCACATGGGGAACAGTAGTATTAGTTTCTAGTTTTTATTTTTTATTTTTTTAAAACAAATTTATAGTAACCTATGTAAAATTATAATTATTTTTTAAAGGATTTTTTTTCTTCTGAAATTCTAGCGGAATCATGACCTATACTGATCTCTTCTTGTACGGCCTTTCGTTTTTCTATTTCTTTTTGACCTTTGAAAAAAGGGAATAAACCCACTTCCTTCCAACAAGCATGTCATAAAAGACAACTAATTAAAGTTTGCTGAAACTGGATGATTTGTGCCCCAAAGGTACAGAAATCACATTCTAGCTGTAAATTACACATAGTGAACTTATTTTTTGTTGTTGTCACTCTTCTGTCTTTCCTGAAGGTAATGTTTTATTGTGGTGTACAGAGACATGAGAGTCACAGCTTATCATGATGGCGGCCCTAGTACAAAGCCTGGGCAGTACTGTAGAGACCATGTGTTTCCTAAGCATCATGGTCTCTCCATTGTTTACTCCTGAGGAAAGGTAACACCAGTATGTTTGGAACAAAGCATACTGCAGAAGCTGCTGGATCAGAAGAGCAGTCCTCTCTAACTTATTTACCCACCAGCTATCTCACGGTCATTAAGGAAGAAAAGAGGGGCTTTTTTGAATGAAATGTTATAGAAAGATTCTCAGAATACGGTGGACCAAATTAAAAACACTGAAATCCTAAAAGATCTGAACATCAAAGAAGATTAGATAGTAAACTGTTCTCTGTCTTAGAAACTGAAATATCTTGGTCATATCAAGCACACGGCAGATTGGAAATAATGATAGAAGAACTAAATTTATGATATTTTGCCCATTTATTTCAGCTATTGAAAGCTTTAGAGATGTTTAATGGCAACCTTGATGATTATCTTCACTTGCTGCTGCCTCCCATAGTCAAGCTGTTTGATAATGCAGAGAATCCTATCCACATCAGAAGGTTAGTGTTGTGGGAGTATCAGCCATATACTGACCATATAGCTGATGCTTTTGAAATGCAGTTCTTCAGAAAACTTGTTTCCATGTCGATTGTGGGCTTCATTTTGGGGGAAAGCATAAACGACCCACTGCCCTTTAATAAGCATGCTTAGCAACCATGAAGGAAGCTGATAACATCAGTGCTGTACAGACAAGCCTGGTGGATAATGATGTATCTCTGATGCTAACATGAACCTTGTGACCTGGGAGTAAAGCTTGGTGAAGCATGTCTATACCATCTTAAGGTCAGGGTTAGGTGATTACAAGCAACTTCAAGTGGAAGCAATCAGTTGAGGTACCTTGGTATTGCTGCTGTGTCAAAGGACTTAACCCTTTCGCTGCTGCGCCCTCCGCCAGCCAACGTAACCACTGTGTCTAGCCAGGCGAGAGCTAATCTTTCCCCCTGTGCCGAATACCGTTTTTTCCTTCAAAAGCAGAAGACGCGCTTGCGGCACAGGGTAAAAATTGTACACCTAAAATAAAAAATTGTTGAAAGCGAGTGGTTGAACTTTGCGCTGACAAGTCAGACGCGCTATTACTACGCCATGAAAACTCATTAACAAAAAGAAAACACTACAAACTTATAAAGCAAACACAAAACACTTTAGTAAGCAAATACATGGTTTTTATTATTATTAATAATATCTTTGTGTGTGAAATATTTCAAAACAAGATGCGACACACAATGCCAAATCACACTCCTTGCACATGTATCTGGTTTCCCGTCGTTTTTTGCTTTTTGCGCATACCACACACTTTCTTGTTGGGAATTTTTTCTGCGATGTTACAGAAGGGAAATGCCTTTGTACTAAACGAAGTGACAGATCTTCACTTTTTTGTCCTCCTACACTTTTTCTCTTTTCCTTGCAATATTTCGGTAGAATTTCTCTTACTAACATAAAGTGAAATTCGGCAACAGGTGTGTTTTTTCCCACAACAAATTTATATAATGAATGTGCACAGTACACCAACCACGCTTCACAAAGGAACAGGATAATGTGTAAAGCATCTAAATCCACTTGATCGCACGTGACAGGATGTTTAATTAATTATTACTTCGGTGATCTGTTGCCGAAAATGCTAAGAGCTTAAATTAAAAATTTGCATTTAAAATAATTAATTTAAAAAAAAAAACAGCGTGTAGGGATTGAACGCTGTACATTTCGATTGTAAGGCAGACATGATACCAACTACACTAGAAATTCACATGAAACTATGAACTGAAAAAAAAAAAAGACCAGTATTGTACACTTTAATAGACAAACACTTTATGTCAGTTGTATAGTATATAATTAACATTAATATTAATCATCACGTCAGTACGTGACCATATCTTTTTTTTGATTATTTTGGATCCGTTTCAAATCCACTCGATGTAGATAGCTAGGTCATATGGTCACTGGTCAGTCTTGTTCACAGCCAGAAGTACACGTGTCCGCCGGCGTGCCGCGAAGATAAGCCAGCTCATATAACTCACACGTTTCAAAGTGATCCTTACTACTACTCCTTGAAAGAAACTCCAATAATTCTTCTTTTTTTTTAAAAATCCTTTTGTTATTTTGTATTTAAAAAAAAAAAAATTTAGACTAACGCAAAACCAGAAATGTATTTCAGGGCAAAAAAATTACCGTTCACTGACAATGCTTCTATGGTAACAAAGCAACAGGATAACGTGAAATGCATCTAAATACGCCTAAACTCACTTGATAGGGGTTTTAATTGTATGTAAATGAGTCAGTTTAATCAGATTAAGGAAATGTGTATTGCTATTTCATCCCTAAGAATTACTGTTCTTAGCAATCTGTAAAAAAATGTTGAGGACGAGATATCTTGTCCTTAGCAGTGAGGGCACAGAAAATGGCAGCCGAGTTATCTCGTCTTTAGCAGTCTGCCCGGCAGACGAGTTATCTTGTCCATAGCAGCGAAAGGGTTAATATACATGGAAATGCCCAGTGTGAGGTGACGCCAGTTTTTATAATATTACACATCATCAGCAAGTCATGGAAGTTGACTAATTTAAAGGTTTGCATAAATCTAATTTATTGGACAGAAAGGAACACATATCACAGCTTAGCTGAAAATCACTGTTCAGAAGAAGAAGAAGAAGACTTATTTCCATGGATAAAAAACAAAAGATAAATAAGGAATATCAACAGCTTCTTTTTCCAGACGCTGCCTGCTAGCCTGTGGGTCAAATCTGCACCCAGGCAGATCTTTTCTTCAGAATTGTTCTTTGCGCCCCGGTCTAACCAGCCTAAAATGGGTACCAGGTAATGTCCTGGGAAACGGCATGATGTTGACCACATCACCCATAAATCGTCAGTTTGCACCACGTGCCCGATAAACCTTCCTACAGCTTCTACTTCTAGTCCAGCCATGCCTGTCCACAAATCTTCTGTCTCATGTACTGTCAGTCATTGATTTTCTTCCATGAATGATGTTGACTGTCTGACATCTTATCCTTGCTCTCCCTCTTCTCTTTTTCCCTCAGTCTTTTCCATTGTCACAGTTTACTTCAGTTTTCCTTTTCTCATGGTGTGCATAAAAGAGTGTATTACAAGTCAGTGTAAAAATATATTTCCCTATCTCTTGATTTATTAGAGTTGGGTTAGTTATTTCCCTAAGCTCAGCATGATTTATGTTTTCAGTTTAGTTGAATTCCTTCAAAACCTTGCACCATCAAAACTTTGCACCAGGAGAAAATAGATTGATGACATTTAAGTTAAAAGTTGTGAGGATTGAATTCACTACATCAGTTTATCCCATTTAGCTTGGTATCTCTCCACAGAATTGCTAGCCGGCTGCTGAGAGCATACATAGCACAAAGCCCAGCCTCTGACATTAAAGGCATTTCACATCCACATGGCTTGACAGTAGCCTGTGCTCTCATCAAGTGAAGAATATTTTTGCAGTCTTTTTATTTTTATTTTTAAAAAAAAATTGAGATAGCAGACATGAAAGAGAATTCTCAATTCTGATATACAGAAATCAATCATGGACAGTTGGACGATTACTGAACAAATTATTTGGTTTTACAGACGATCAGAAACCCGGACAGATTAAAAGGAGGAATAGTGTCATAAAAGAAACTAACTTATGAAAAGCGCTGATTGTCTACAACTGAAGGAGAAATCTACATTCTTTTTTGTGATTTGATGAGAAAGAGAAAATTGGAGTACATTGGGACGGTTGGAAATTTGGATGGGAAGATAGGCAGAAGTGGGACAGAGAAAGAAGATGCTGGGCAGTTTGACATCATGGTATGGAATATCATCTGTTTCAGCGTTGACTGAAAGTACCTGAGACAGAAGGTCGTGCATAAACATGACTACAAACACCACACGGCTTGGACTGTAAGAAGAACCCATGGAGTAATAAGTTGCAAACTGTTCCTCCCCACTGCACTTTATGGTAAATGTAGATATTGATTACTATGATTTAATTCCTTATGCGTACATTATTATCATGTTTTTACTGTAACAGGAGTGCCCTGGAGACAGTCGACAGACTGACCGACTCTCTGGACCTCTCGGACTATGCCTCTCGTATCATTCACCCCTTGGTGCGCACCATGGACACAACACCAGCGCTTCACACCACATGTATGGACACTCTTTGCACCCTGGTCATCCAGCTCAACTACAAGTTCACAATCTTCATTCCCATGGTTACAAAGGTCATGAGTCGGCACAGGATCCACCATCAAAGGTTTCACGTTTTGATGACCAGAATTCTTAAGGTAGGGAAATTTTGTTTTTGTTTATTTTCCTGTAAAAGAAAAAAAAAATTTTTCAACATCTGGAGCTTCTGTAGTGTAGTGGCTAGAAACCTGCTTGCTGGCCTGAAGATCTTGAGTTTAAATCCAAATTGAGTCAGATGTGGTTTAAAAATTTACCTTGGCTCCCAAATTGAATAGCTTAAAATGGATACTAGGCACTATCATGAAAAATAGAATTGGCCAATGTGATTCAGCCAATCAACTGGTATGCCATTCTATAGAGAATGCTATGTGGAGCCATACTATACATGGCATACACTACAACAGGAGAAGATTGTAGAGCATGAGGTGGACCAAGGGCTCTATAGAAAAATGACCATCAGAGACACATATGATGCATCTGTGGTCGAGCTGGCAGGAAGAGCAAGAAGCAGAACCATTTATCTTCCTTCACACCTGAAGTAGTAAAACAGGAAATGAAGAAGAAGAAAAAGAAGCGTAATGTTGACTGCATCACCCACAGAGTGCCAATAAGTCTATGAAAGTCTTAAATTGTTAGTGGATCCGGCAAGGTAGGATGTATGAGAAGAGGACAAAGACGTGTATGTGATCGGTTTCCTATGGGAAGAGTTACTGTGGGAGATGGAGCATCTGTGGGTATGCCCATTGTGCTATGCTGTCTATTCCTAAATCAGTCATCAGTAATTACCTGTGTCTCTACAGGGCACAACTATAGCTGACGAGGAAGATGATCCTATCTTAATGAAGAAAGAACGCCAGGATCAACTCAAGAAAAAAGGCAAGGACAGGTCAGACAATGCCCCAGACACCACGGCCATCAAGAAGCTGAGTGTCAACTTTGAAACTATGAAGAAGGTAGGAGTGTTGATTTGTCAGTACAAAGCTGAGGTGGGGGGGGGGGGGGGTGGTTTAGTTCGGGAATCCTTTGAAAATGTTCCATCTCATATTTTTGATCTAAGGTGTTTTGAAACTGGAGGGGATTTAGTGTTGAGAATTATAACACAGGCACTGTCCATCCATCAATCCATTTATGTAAAAAAAAAAATTGACCACATTTAACCTACTGCGAACAGCATCAGTTATAATTGTGGTTTGGTTTATTTGTACCAGTTATGTTGGCTGCGAGCAGTATCAGTTATAATTGTGGTTTTGTTTTATTTGTACCAGTTATGTTGGCTAAGAAATGTTAATTGCACCAAAACTAGTGGCTTGGAACGGTACTCTAGTACCTAGAGGGGGCTGGTATGCACTTTACACACCCACACACATATATATGTATATATATATATATATATATATATATATATATATTTATAGACATACATGTATACAATTACATATGTATATACATAACATACATGTGTGCAGACCTAAGTGTGAATGCTTGTAATTGTTTGCATACATGCACATGCATATATACATAAATGTCCAAGTCCAAGTCCTTTTAAGAAAAAAAAAAGAAAAGCTCGACCACGTTCAGACTGCTGCTAGCTAGCCTAGGCTGCTAACAGTCTCCGCCTATATTTGTGGTCTGGGTTATTTGCGTCACTTTCGTGACTGAATACTGGTGTTTGTGCCATTTCTGGCTTAATGCTTCCCTCCGTATCAAACCGCTCGTCCTGTTGTCACTGGTGCAAGTCTTCCTTCTTCATTCGTGGTGTTTCCTATTTGTTCTGTCTCCCTTTGATCTGGCTAGGCGTATCTCGAAGGAGAGCGAGCTTCCAAACACAACGACCTTTCGGCCACCATTTATTGTTTTAAAATTTTGAGTATTTTAATTTTCCAAAAAGTACTGAAAACAGTTTTTGAATGTGAATAGTTCCGAAATGTGAAAATTTTCCGCGTATGACCATAGTGGTCTTATAGTTGTCTTCCTGTAATATGAACGGGTTAGTCATGTATTGGATATGTGTGTGGGAGTTTGTGTGGAGTCTTAAGCGAGTCCAGTCGTCATTTGTTATTATGTGATCGGTTGTGTTGATAGCTAAGCTCCGGTGTACGTAAATACCATATAACCGGACCGTCCAGCTCACGCTTTGAGATCCAAATGATCGGCGATGAGAATTGTTGTGGCATGTTGGGCAACGAACTCAAGTGCTCTCTGTGGGAATGGGTTGGGGGGTTAAACTCATAGTGCATCCGAAAGATTTAGGGAAAGGTGGGGGGAAGGGGAGCGGGAGGCCATTCAGTCAATTCTCGTCGTTGCCGTCTTGCTGGATTCTAGCGTGGCTTTTTGCCGGGACTATGTGTATCACGTTACCAACCTTTGCTATCATCCCGGTGATGGGGTGGTATTGGAGGCTATGTGTTCTAGTCCTGTCATTATCGAGTCACTTGTATTCCCTATTTGCTGTCAGTCATATTTTTGTTATGAGTCCTGTCGGTCATGTGCATGTTGTATGCATGTTGTGGAGTGGGATGGTTTTGTTTATGAATCCCCGGAGTATATGGACGCACCCAACTAGGTGTATGCGTACATGCACTCGAGTACTCATACATGCAGACAACACTACATATTTGTACGTCCTTTCATACTTATCCGTATATGCATACCTAATTGACATTACGTACACACGCAAACTCTTTCATATGCGTTTACCAATGCCTGTGCTTACATTCATTAAAAAATAAAAAAAAAATTAAAAAAAAAAAAAAAAAACGAGTACATCCACACGTAGTGATATATTCACTCTTCCATGTCTTATGCGTGTTGTGTCGCTTTGTCTGTAATTTCGTCTGGTCGTGTCACTTTTATGCTATGTCCCGTTACTGGTATGTGACCTGTCCGGTACTGACGTATCATGTTTTGGTGGATGGTGTGCATAAATGTGTATAGAAAAAGATGCATTGAAAAAATGAGGACCTCAAAGAGAAGCGTTAAAGGAATGTTAATGAGAGGCCAAGGATGCTATACCGATTTTATATTTATTTGGCCATTCAGTGGTTAATTCGTTTGCTTCCCTAGACAGGGGTTCACGTTCATTGTTTACCATAGGGGATTATTGTGTTCCGATTAGTATGGCTTCTGTGGCCTACCAAGCCGCATACTAGTTTTCATAAATTTCTGGGAAATCTCTGGAAAGGAAAGGCTGCAAGGAAAGGTACTGACCACCTTAGAACAGATGTGTTTACTTTTACCTTTTTTCTCTCTTTTACCTTGTTTTTCCTACTTTTACATTCTTTATCTTTTATTTTGTTTTTCCTTATTATACCTTGTGTTTTCTACTTTTACACCCCCCCCCCCCCCCTCCCCACATTTACCTTGTTTACCTACTTTTACTTTTGTCTTCTGACTTTTACCTTATTTTCCTACTTTTATTTCTTAAAAGTTCATATTCATTCCATACTCAGACCTGTGTACTATCTGTCAACCTGGTTTACACCAGGGTTCAGCCATCTCACCTGTATTTGCAGACAGTATTCTGGCATCTAGACTGGGTGCAATGAGAAAGGGATTTCAAAGCTCCAAGTGGTGGTGGATACAATTTTTGATTTGTGTAGAGATACAGGATCTTTAATAAATTCAGATATAGATCAACATTCTAGAATTCATTGGACCATAGAATTGTCAAAGTAGATATCCCCAAGATCAAAATAAATGCAGACGTGGCCAAAAGGGAAAACACTAAAAAGTCTAGGAGTTAGTTCTGACCGAAGTCTATCTTTCAAGGACAACATTAATGCAGGCTTCTTAAGATCAAAGAGAGTCTTTAATGAGCTAAAAGTTGTGGCTGCTGCAGACGTAGAACACAATCAGCCTTGTTATGTCAGTCATTGAATATGATCTGGGGATACTAACCATGTTTTTAAAAAAAACTGAGGGAGAAGGATGGCCAAGGAGAGCTTAGCATATGTCATTACTACATCAAGAACTGTGGTTAAGGTGATAACTACGGCATTCCAGTATGTTGGCAAAATCTCATCCACACATTTTGTCTTAGTATGGGATTTACAAGTAAGGTTTAATCGGGTTTTCTATTCATATGGAATCGGTCTCATAAATCTAGAGGTCGCAGGTGATGAAAGTCACATGGATATTCTTTCCAGACCAGGCAGAAGTGTCAGAAGGTCTACTGCAACTGCACGGCAGAGAGAATCTCTCACTTGTGGGTCGAGGTAAAGAGTAAAATGGAAGATATTTAAAACTGGTACCTGGAAAAAATGATGCTTTGGGGAGTGTCTTTTGACTTTGGGTGCCACTTGACACTCAGGGAAAGACAAGACCTGTAGTTAACCAGACAACAACGGGGACTCTTTGCTGGCTGTTGTGGAGAGAAACGAAGATTATATAGGGTTCTCCTGAATGCTGTGATGTCAAATCTTTATCCAGATAAGCCATACTCTGGTTTTGGTTATCCTGTCTTTCGACAGCTTTCTGTCTCATGTACTGCCAGTAATTTGTGGTAATTTTCTTCTATACTATGTTACCGAACTGTCCATTATCTTCTCTCTTGAATGCTTCCTCTCTAGTTTTCCTCTTTCTCATGACATGGTGAAAGAATGGGGATTGTTTTTTCTTAAGATTTGGACTGTACCAGTTGATTATTTCTGTGACATTGCATTTTCAGGCACTTGAAACTGGTCGCCGTGTGTCCAAGGAGGACTGGATGGAGTGGCTGAGAAAGTTGAGTATTGAGCTTCTGAAGGAGTCTCCGTCCCCAGCGCTCAGATCAAGCCTTGCACTGGCCCAGACCTACAACCCTCTTGCCAGGTATGACCTAACAAGAATTGTTGTAGACCAAATCATAGAATAGACAGTATTTTTCAGTAGTTCATACTGTGAATTCAGCATTGAATAATAGCAGTTACAAGAATTGCTATGGCATTAGTAACCTTAAACAAGATGTAAATGATACTCAAGAAGATGTCAGTTAGTGAGAAACAAAAAAGAGCAATAAAGTGATATGTGTTGTTATATGCATGTGAGACATGGACAATAAGTAGACACACTGACAGATATTTGCTCGCCACCGACGTTTTTATTTTTTAGAGTAATGCAAAGAAGAATATCTTGGAGTGATAGAAAAACAAAAAGAGCAATCCTCACAGAGACAGATGAAAGTCTTATTAGAATAATTTGGCTTAGACAGCCAATGTTGTTTGGACATGTAATGAGAAGGGAATGATGGACTCAAAAACTTCGTATCAGCTGTCAAGACTGATGAAAAGAGAGCAAGAGGAAGGCAATGAGATAAATACCTGGATGACTTTGCCACTTGGATGGGACAGGACAAGAACATTGACCTGGTCCGTGATTGGGACAATTGTGCAAGATCAGAACATTACAGCCTATGCTTACTAGCTTGGCAAATGATGATAGTGATGAAATAACTGCTGAACAGCATTTGTAAAATATGGTTGTTTTCAGTGACAAATTATTTCAGTATGACTAAACAGTCATAATTTCCTGCATATATATGTCCTTCATCATTATGTGCATCCAGTCTGACAGTTTATTAATCCAGATTCCAGTTTCTTTGTGGATTGGTTGCCTCATAACTGCTTCATTCCTGTGCCAGTGGAAATCACACAAATTGTCATTTACTGTCAGTTCTAGCAGAATCTAGAAGCCTGCACAAACTAAATGCAACAGGCAGTCATCAGATGTGCCAAGATAACAGTCCCACACCAGAATTGCAGCACACTGTTGATTCACTCAGTCAGTTATGAAAGCCAGAAACATGCACATTACTGAATAAGTCTGACAGTTTATGTCAGCCATCATACATAAACAGTCTTAGCGTTGAAATGGTATGAAATTGAGCTCCTAAATGGCCATTGTCTGCCTCGCTTTCCTTCTTTCTAATTTTCACATATGTAATGTTTGTATTGATTGATGGCCATTGTCATACATCTGTTTGATTTGAATGCCACCAGGGATCTGTTTAACCCAGCATTTTTGGCCTGCTGGACAGAACTAACAGAGTTTCAACAGGACGAGGTCATCGCCAGCCTGGAGAAGACTCTGACGTCCCAGGAGATACCCGAGATTACCCAGACCTTGCTCAACCTGGCTGAGTTCATGGAGCACTGCGACAAGGTAAGTGATCACAGTCACTTTTATCTGCTTATGTACAGCTGACCCTTGTCCACTTTTCCCGTTTTTGTTGATTTCAAAACCATGCCATGATGCCAGATCATCTAAAATTTTTCTCTATTGGTCTTCTCCTGTGTTTCTTCTCCTCCAACTTTCTTATCATCACAGTGGACACTAGTTTCCCACTTTTGATGATGTGCCCATATAATGTGGATTGAACTCTTCAAATGTAGGTATCCATTTCTCTTAGGAAGTTTATTTCTTGCAAGACATTTTTTAATGCTCTTTTTGTCTGTCCCCAATGTTGTCAAACCACATTTTGGACCTTCCACAAAATGTTTCACTAATCTTCTGACTCTTACATATAACTTATTGGCTTTATACAGCTTTTAAAAACTCTCTGACCCCATCATTATCATCATTATCATCACTGTATAGGAGGATCATTGCAGTACATCAATCCCATTACTTGCCATCAGAAAGACTAAGCCTTTTGATATTTTTCTAGCTTTTTGTATTTTCATCCCCAGGTTGTCTCTAATGTTCATTTTCCATCTTTTTCCTGGTCACCTTTGCCTTTCTTACCAGGAACCATGCTTCCTCAGTGTTGCACTTTTTAAACTACTGCAGTCTTTAATATAATCATAGTTTGTCAATCTTGTTTGTTTATTTGTTGTGTCTCAGTGGTGCAGCACTTTCAGTTGTGAATTTTATGTAATTTATGCCCTTTAGCTTATATTGTGATATTCAGGAAATGGCAGGTGGCCAGTTTGCATCCAGACTGGCAGTGTGCAGTTTGCAAAAATGTATTGCCTGTGCTGCTGCTAGCTTGTCATGACTGACTGCCTCCATCAATAATGATGAATTTTAGTTCTGGTGGCAGATTGTTTGTTGGTATTTGACCTCTTGCAATGCCTTATGCATTTACTGTGCATGTATGCCTCTGGATTTTGCAGCGACTAATTTGTTTGTTCACTAATTTTCAAATGGGATGGTAGAGGGAAGTTTGTGTAATTTTTACTGGCATGGGAGCAGTTATGGAGGAATCTATTTGCTGTTAAGTTTAAAAAAACCTAGATTCCATCTACCAATAATTGTGAGTTGATATACATGTTGCTGTTTATTAGCTAGTTTCTTCAGATCTTGTTTTTATTGGTAATTGTAAAATCTATATTGTCTATATTTTATGTGTTCTTGTGGCATTATAAAAAAAAAAAAAAAAACAATTATACAGTGCTAAATATTTTTAGGGTCCCTTGCCACTTGACTGTCATCTACTGGGAGAACGAGCTATGAAGTGTAGAGCATATGCCAAAGCACTGCATTACAAAGAAGATGAGTTTCATAAAGGTCCTAACACTCAGATCCTGGAGAATCTTATCACGTAAGAAATTGTTGATTTAATAAATCTATTCATATTTTGACCCATAAAAGATGCAAACAACGGAGAATGGAGAGTGTGAGAAGCAACAGTAAAATTCATATCCTGTTTAAATCACTACTAATTACTGACATGATGCGGGCTAATAGAGTGCAACCTTTGGGGTATATTTTGAAAATGGCAAGTAACCATGTACACCAAAAAGTTGAATGGGAGAAGAGCATGAGGCAGACCAAGAAGACAGTGGAGAGATAATATATATTCAGACCTGTGGAGACTTGGAGTCACCAACTGGAAAGAGAAGATCAGTCATAGAGATGAATGGACATGGGTGATATCTGCAGCATTGAGCCTTGAGGTTTCAAAATGCTGAACAGAAAGAAGGAGAGGAAAAAGATGCAGGTGAAGAAAAAGGGGAGGTAGAATATATATCTGCCTAGATTCAGTTCTGATGTGTATGGCACTGTTTTACAAAGGTGAAGGTAACTGCTTATGGCATTTTTGTGCGAAACATGTCTTCACTTACAAAAAATAAAGTGAAGGTAATTTCATTGTAGATACTGCCATTAGAGTATGAAGTATTAGGCAGTTAACACTTTTTATGACATGGTATGTGAGGCATTTATATCTTTTTCATAGCAGAGCACCTAGCTTGGGTTTTGACAGTGGTATCAACCGTGACCATTCAGAAAGCAATGGCAAACCTTTTAATGTAAAATTGCCAAGTGAAAAATCAAGGTGTGCTGCCAAAAATGTATGTCTAATCATGTAATGCAGCAGTTCACAACCTGCAGGTCGTAACTACTTTTTTGGTCAAATGACCCTTTCACATGGGTCGCCTAAGACCATCGGAATACATATTCTTTGAAGTTATGCAAAAAAAAAATTGTTAGGGGGTCGCTACAACATGAGGGAACTGTATTAAAGAGTGGCTGCATTAGGAAGGTTGAGAGCCACTGATCTAAAGGGTCAGGGTATGTCGTGTCTTCAAAGAAAAGGATCAAACAAGTACATTCAACGTAACAAGTCAGCACATGTAAAGATGTTAGCTGAAACTTTTATATTTATTATCTTTAAAATGAGGATCCTCATAGAGTCAGCCTTTTGATTAATAATCCCTTCTTAGAAGATATAAAACCATGCACACTCAATTATTATGAAAAAGAAAAATTTGATTGAGTTGTCTTCTGATGTCAGTCTTGTGTCCAAGCGTAAAGTCCAGTCATTGTCTGAGTTTTGGGTATTACTTGAGAAAAGAATATCCATGTCTGAGTTAGAGAGCTGTTAGATTATTAGTAAGTTTTTTTTTTTTTTAAACTTTATGTTTAGGTAACAAGGCAGTCTTTTCCATATCAGTAATAAAAAATCAAAACAGAGAAATTGAATGAATGTTATTGCAGCGCATCATCTAACAGAATCAATGCTCCTACAACAAATCTCAGATATTCTACCCTCTTGGCAGCAGTAGATATCACATTAGTTGAAAATTTTAATACTATGACATCAAATTTAACAAATAAACTCCCATCTACATTTGTTTTTGGTTCTGTTGTTATTTAACTGTCAAACAAGCTGTGAAACAATTTTACTCGGTTTTGTGGGCTGTGAATGAATAGGGTTCTAGAACAGAAAATAACCACATGTGAAATGAGCTGTCTCCACAAGATCATTAACAACACAAGAAGAGACAGGGTTACGAATACAAGCATTAGAGTGAAAGTCAGAATAAGACAATGTCTGGATTTTTTTGACAAAGAAGGAAATAGTTCAGCCATCTAGTGAGAAGGCGGCCGTGCCAAATGTATATGAGACTTTACAACAGAATATCTTAAAGGAATGTAAGAGGAAGACCACAAAATAAATTGATGAATGATGTTTCTAAAAACCTGCAAAAAGATGAACAAGTTCATCATCCAAACGACCCAAGAAGCGCAACACAAATTCAGAAAACCATGACACTGGGTTACAACCTTGTATCGGTGAGACGACAAAAGAAGAAAAAAGAAGGTAGGTCGTAGGTGTAAAAAGGTTGAGAAACACTGATCTAGCGGCTGCACCACATCTGGTCTGAATATGTAACAATGCATTATTTGTATAATTTTATCAGCATCAATAACAAGCTGCAACAGCGGGAGGCTGCTAAAGGAGTCCTTCTCTATGCTATGAAGCATAACCATGCCAATTTGGTAAGCTGTAGTTTATAAAGTTCTGTATAAAGCAGCCTTATTTGGTGTGCTTCTTTTGTTCCTACATTGATTTTTTCTTTAGTTTTTCAGTTTTCTCATTGCTAAGTCTTCTAAGGCTCAGATGGCTAAGACTGCTAAGTCTTCTAAGGCTCAGATGGCTAAGACACACTTAGAGGATGGAGGATGCTAGAGTCACTAAGGACATCCTCTGTAATGAATTACAGATAGGTCAAATATTTCAAGGTCAGATATGATATAAGGTTTTTACAAATAGGACTTGAATGATATAAGTATTGAGGTGGATTTTGGGAAACAGTACCTATGGGCCATATTGCATGAAAGGGCAAATCAGGAAAGAAACAGTGACAGAGGAAACAGTGATTGCAGATAGCGTGTCTGAGAAGTAGCACATTAAAACAATATGATGGCTGTCAGGGCTCTGAAATCCCACGATTTCATTATTGGTTGAATCTTCTTAATATAGAACAATGTAACACCAATGTCTGGAAAGATGCGTTGATGTTTTTCCATACTTCAACAATTTCTTCTTGGTCTACCCTTGCCTCTCTTTCATTTAAACTGTTCTGCTGTCTTGAAGTACTTCAGTTTTCCTTCATTTTTATTACATGCTTAAAAAATTGGATTATCTTCTTCTAATGTGGGTAACCAATTCTCTTTTTTTTTTTTTTTTTCTATTAATACATCTTAACTATTATTATTGTATCTGTCAGTTATGTTAGCATCATTTTTCTGTAAATCAACATTTTGTTTAATCTACCCATTATATTCTCATCATTTCTCTTTTAACTCAGTGAGTACCAAGCAACACACCACAAATTGTATTTGCTGTTTATTTCTCTTCCTCCCCATGCCACATTCACTTGTTACAAACCCACACTGCCTCAGGTGTTATTTTAACCCCTTCTCACCCAGAGCAGTATTATTTTCAAGTCATTCTGGCCCAGACATGTATTAATTAAATGAAACCTCTCCATGAGAGAATAGGATAAATTAAATGTCTAGTACTGAATGAGTTAAATCAGCATTTTTATTCTTTCATTGTGTACAGTGTTTTTTTTATCTCACCATGTATATTCCACTCGTATAAAGGTACTCAGGTACTAAATACAAGTGTTGGTGTCTGTTTCAAATGCGCTGCATAATGCTGGGGTGCCCAGTTCGATCCTTGCAGCAAGCAGTTTGGCAGCAAACCACCTTGCATTGATTTGATCAGTGACCTTGAGAGTTGACCTTCAGTAAGCCGTGGCAAACAACTGAATGCAAATTTGCTTAGAAAACCAAAACAGCCAAAAAATGCTGGGCTGGTTTTGCAACTTCCTGTAAAGGATACACAGCTAACAAAAAACAAAAACAAAAAGTACCCATATCCTTATTCTGTCCACCAGATTATAATATACATATTTTTCTTTTGTTCAGAAAGTACAGGAAAGCTGGTATGAGAAACTGCATGAATGGGAGAAAGCCCTGCAGGCCTACCAGAGAAAGCAGGAGCAGAACAAGGATGATGACAGCCTCACTCTGGCTAGAATGCGATGTTTGGAAGCTTTGGGAGATTGGTAATGATTGGCTTCAGTATTGCTGAGAGTTGTCAGCATATTACTGCGAAATTTTTTTATTTTTTTCAAATTGCTTGATCTCTCTAATAGAATTGCTCTGTAAGTTCTCAAATCATCCAAATGTTTTCATTCATTCATTCATGTGTTCATTGATTCATTGTTATGTTATGCCATTATATGTTATTTATAGGGTTTGCAGTCTTTTTCTCCATTCCGTTCTATCCTGTGCAGTCACTTGAATGTCATGGACGGAATCCAGTCAAGCACCTTTGGCTTCTGTCATCAGCGTTCACTTTAGGGTTTCCCTTGGACGTCCGCGTTTCCTTAGTCCCTCTATTTCCCATGTAATGCCTGTATGGTGATTGTCTGTTCATCCCTTTTCACTATGTGTCGCATATAGCGCCATCTTATCGGTCTTAAAACTATTGATACTAATGTTTGACCGGTCATTTATCTAATTTCTTCACCCCTTTAAATTAATCCCATTTTATGTTCAGCATTCATTTTATTGTTCTCATGACATGGATTGAAATGTTCTCAGAGTTTCCAGAATGTTTTCTGATTGCAACAATTAAAGAGATTTCAAAATTGAAATTGTTCTTCTCTAACCTTGACCTGAAAATAAGTAAAAATCCATGTTCATTCTTTGATCCCTGCTGGACACCTGGTTTCTTCATCATGTTTATAGATCAGTCAGTCATTAGTGAAACAGCATCAGTGCAACCTGCTTTTACTTCCCAGGAACTTCTTGGTATCTATTTTATACTTTTTGATCCGGGAACACAAGCAGGCTTAATTAATCCATCTTTGGTGGGCAGATGCGGAGCACTGACCGTCATTTCTGACATACTAAAAATACTTTTGTCCAACATTTAAATCTGTACAGGCCACCAACTTAAATATGCTTTTTTTTTTTTTTAAATTAATTATTTGTTATGTAGTTTTGGCAAATTTTTTGCTTTTGGCTAAAGTTAGCTGTTGCATTTCTCACCATTTGTGGAAAAAAATATAGTGCTGTGGCCCAGCTAATGAGTTTAGTACATGGTGTGACACTGTGAGCTGGAGATTACATTTGGCTTGCTTTTTTAAGCTGTATCGCAGTTAACATTAGTGGGTATTCTTTGTGGTTTTTGCTGGCTTAGGAACTGAGAAATTATGAGGTGGCACTTTTGCCATGAAGCTGGAAATGCAATTACCTATTCAGTATTAAATATACCAGATTTTTCTATAGACATTGTCACTTTTGCACTGTCTTATAGATTGACATTTAGTTCCATTGTTGGATATCCCTTTCCCTCGAAGTTGGAGTACATCTGCCGGAGAGGGGGGGGGGACAAGAACTGCAAACAAATAAGCCAGTAAAACGGATATACACACAAAACCCAGGTCAAGGTAAAAGCCAAAAGTCCATTTGGACGAACAACCGCGACTTACTGCCGGAATTCACAGCCGGTGAACAAGAAGAAGAAGGATATCCAAGATTTTTTTAATACACACAAATCTGGCTTTTAGCCCTGCTCAGTCAACATTAGTTACCTAATTGAATATAGAAGATATTTGTATTCACTTAAATTTGACGTTTTGCTCTATCGGACATTTAGGAACCAGCTACACCAGATAGCATTGGACAGATGGCCAGTGGTATCCGATGAAATGAAGACCAGCATGGCACGGATGGCCTCAGTGGCAGCCTGGGGTCTAGGTACTGGCTATGTTTGCATCCACATATGTTCTGTGTTTGCTTCAACATATGTTCTGTGTTTGCTTCAACATATGTTCTGTGTTTGCTTCAACTTATGTTCTATGTTTGCTTCAACAAATGTTCTGTGGTTGCTTCAACATATGTTCTGTTTGTTTCGGTAAATGTTTCATGTCTGTTTCCACATTGTTATGTTTGTTTCTGTTCATGTTCATTGTTTCTGTAAATATTGCTTGCTTCTGTAAATTCTTTATGTATGTGTATAAATAAATAAATGTATATAAAAACTATAACACAAGCGGAAACATACATATATCTTAAAATAATAGAACAAATGTAGGAACACTTAAAAAAACCTATATATATTTTTAGATATATGTATGTTTCCGCTTGTGTTATAGTTTTTGTTTTTAAACACATGTGCACTACTCTGCCATTTACATTGGTAGAATAGTGGTCAGTAAATGTATGCAGTCTGTTTGTGGGACAGATGTGCAGTTACAACAGTGTCAAAATTCAGTCAGTTGCTGTCTCCACAGTAAAATTTGGCTGCAGTGGATCTCATAAACTCTCTGTCTCCTGTCTTTGTTCATCCATCTCTTGATGTTGTTCTCTCACTTGTTTTATTGTCTACCTCTTGCTATTTTCCCCTGGACCTTTTCCTCCAGTATGGTTTAAAGAGTTAAGTCTTTTAATGTGGCCACAATCACTCTTGCACTCTCTCTCTCTCTCTCTCTCTCTCTCTCTCTCTCTCTCTCTCTCTCTCTCTCTCTCTCTCTCTCTCTCTCTCTCTCTCGCTCTCTTTCTTTCTTTCTCTCTTTCTTTCTTTCTTTCTTTCTTTCCTTTCTTTCTTTCTTTTTCTTTCTTTCTTTCTTTCTTTCTTTCTTTCTTTCTTTCTTTCTTTCTTTCTTTCTTTCTTTCTTTCTTTCTTTCTTTCTTTCTTTCTTTCTTTCTTTCTTTCTTTCTTTCTCTTTCTTTCTTTCCAGAACCTCTGCATTTGATTATTTTTGATTCCATGAAACACAACTTATTCTCTACATCTACATTTCCAGAGATTCAGTTCTGTTTTCTAGTTACTTGTTCATTGTCCAGGTTTCTGCACCATACTACAGGGTTGAGTATACATAACTATTGACTGTTCTTATTTTTAATGTGTTATCTCTAGCTGTGAATTTTTTTTCTAGCCATTCCTACTCTTTCTGATTTTTATTTCATTTCTGCCATCATCTATTATACATGTCCAAGATAAGATGAACTTGTTGCTTGTTTTGATATCCCTCTCTTTACTGTTATGTTCACTGTTAGACGCTCCTTTCCATTGTTAGTAATAGTTTTGTTTTTCAAATGTTAATGCTAAAACCATGCTCTGTAATCCACCTGTAGGTCCTGTAACTCCTGTTCACTTTCTGCTAGTAATCCTGTGTCATCAGCCTATCTCAGATTGTTTATTATTCTTCCACTAATATTTAGTCTGGACAATTCTCTTAACTTTCTGTAATTGTTGTAACTCAAATTCTTTGTTGTGGCATGATTTATTTTCTTCAAAATACAGCTCTGTGGTCCTCATAGTCTTGGTGCTTTGTCAGTGGATTATTCTATAGTTTCAGTGGGCAGTAAAGATGTTGCCACCTTCCTGTCTTTTCAGACAATAGTGTTCCATTGTGCTATTGGGAGGCATGGACATCACAGCCTGTGGTGCTGTTGACTTAACTGGCAAGACCAGTCCACATTAAGAAAAATTTTGCACAATAAGTGTTTGAGATTTCAGGGCCAGGCCATTGTTGCCATCACATGTGTGTGATATTTTTCTTCTGATACACTCAGTTTTGCTATCCTTTTCTCTTTTGTCCCCTACTCCCTTCCTAATCTTTTACTCTTCCTGCAGTCGGATCCATGGCAACAGTGAGGATGATCTGTTGAATATGTTTGCAACTTCAGTTTTCTCTTTTCTTTTCGTTTTTTTCTTTTAAAAAAAACCACGTAAATCTAGTTTTTATTTAGTTGTCAGCTTTTGTACAGCTAATTTTTTTAAAGCTGTATTTGTATAATTTGGAGTCATTAAAGGAATATTTAAACATTTGGACCAGAATGGTTTGCTATGTTGGCTGAATATGAAACGTCTGAAATACTTGAGCTGTAAATATAAAGTTCATTACATTAAGACACAAATATTACCAGCCTCATACACTGCAGCCAAGCATAAATGTCCTGTGAGGCAACAATCAGGGTTTGTGTGTAACTGGGCAACTTATCCAATCAAGATGTTTAACTGGAGAATCCAGCCAATTGTGACCAAGTTTGCAGAGGGCTTAGCAGAAGTTGGTTGAGGTCTTGTGTGCCATCTGGAGATAAAAAGCATAAGATGAAAATAAAGAAGAAGACAAAGAAATAGAATAAGAAAGAAATTAGAATTTAAACTGGCACAGACACACTCAAGTACTCATAAGAGTCGACTAACTGGAGGCTTCCTTCAAAGTCAGAGAACATCTGAACAAACAATCTGCATACAAATATGTCAGATCTGTAAAATGGATAGACAGGCAACACTCGGGTTCTGGAACAAGACTGCTGTCCAAAGGTGGATGAACAATCAGAACTTTCTACAGTAGTTTACAGCAGGTGAACATAGAAAAAAAAAAAAAAAAAACTGGCAATAGGAAATATTGCTGATATTTTATAGTCTTGTCTAATTAAGTGTGAATCTGATTTTATGTTTAATGTTTCTTCCAGGTCAGTGGGACAGTGTGGAGCAGTACATGTTCTACATTCCACGAACCAGTCACAACGCTGCTTTCTTCAAGGCTGTCTTTGCTTTACACTCCGAGAACTATCAGTTGGCTCAGCAGGTGAGACACTTTTGCCTGCATCCATACTTATCCAAGACAGTTCAAGCTATCTTCCATTGATTGTCATGTTACAAAAAAGCAACGGTGTTGCTCTCAGAGTCTGTATTGTCAGCTCATGACCTGATAGCCTGCAAAGTCAGTCCCATAGCAGATATTGTTGAGTGTGTAGTACTGTGCTCTTCACACATTGTGAACCAAGACATATGACGTGCAGTGAACAGTTTTATTCCTCATTGCCTTTCCTTCCCAGACAGTTAGAAAATTCTGGAAATTATCTGATGCTTATTCTAAAGAGACTGGATCGACCTCACAGTTTTTCTGGTGAGAAGAGACAAAATTCTGACATTTTTGGGACTATTGAACCTGAAACCAATGTCGCTGTCAGCAAGTGCACTAGCCGATTTGCCACTTCAGTTCCTGACCACTTTGAGTAAAGTAAGGGAGGTATTTCCACATCATGAAGCATATGACGATGGCCTTTATTTTGTATAGACCAGTCAGCACTTGATAGGTATTGTAGGCGTATCACACGAACCACTCTTTCTTCTCTTCTTCTTCTTCACTTCCTCTTTTACCGCTGTGGGTGTCGAGGGAGATATAAGGTTCTGTATCTAGCTCTTCTGGCAGCCTCGACCATAGGCACATCGTGGTCTTGGTCTACCCTGTGCTCTACGTCCTTCTTCTCTTTCCATGTATGCTTTGTATGGTATGGTGTCACAAGGCGTTCTCTCTAAGTGGGCAAACCATTTCTCTTGCTGTCTTTGTATGTAATCCAGAATTGGTTCTGTGCCGACTTGTTCTCTTATGATCTCATTCCTGATCTTATCTCTTATGGTCACTCCTACAGCCCTTCTCAGACATCTCATTTCCGTGGTTACTAATTTTCTTTTATGGTTTGTTGTGAGTGACCATGTCTGGCACTGGTAGCACAGAGTTGGAATAAATATGCTTTGAATAAGATGTCTCTTTGTGCTGATTGGGATTGTTTTATGCTGTAAGAGGGGGGCTAGCTGTCCCAATACTTGGTTTGCTTTACTTCTAATGTCAATTTCTTTATCCAATTTCCCATCTTCGGTAAATGTAGTTCCCAGATATTTAAACTCAGATGCCTGTTTAATGCCTTTGTATAACCACTCTTTACTTTCCAGAACTTATCTGTATACCCATTTCAGATTTGGTCTGCTTGGCAGCCCAGATATGTGTTAAAATTGTGTGTTAATGGGAGTTTAAAAAAGCAATTCTTGAGTGGGATTCATTCACCAGTGACTATCAAGTATGGATCCTCAATCATCATTGACTATTGAGTGTGGATCTTCCTTCATCAGTGACTATTGAGTGTGGATCTTCATTTACTAGTGACTATTGAGTGTGGCTCCTCATTCAACAGTGACTATCGAGTGTGGATCCTATATCACAAATGACTGTCAAGTGTAGATCTTTCTTTACCAATGACTATCAGGTGTGGATCTTCATTCTCCAGTGACTATCGAGTGCGAATCCTGAGATTTCTGTATGTCCACCCCGTTATATTATCTTTCTATTGTGTTGTTGTTTCCTGATTGCTTGCTTGCCTTCAGCTTGCCCCTCCAAGCTCCTATTAAATGACACATAATGTCCATTTAGCAAAGACCTGACTTCATGATAGAGCAGGTTCAGATGTCTGAAACTCAGTAAAGTGTTGTAATCAAGAAAAACAGTCGTGACTGGCGACTGCTTTACAAAATGTTCATATCTCACACAGTACTGGCATGCTGAGTTATCTTGAAGCACCCATGTTAAAAATGTCTTTGACTATGAGAATAGCCTGACATCCTGAGCAAGCAAAATACTCATTCTGTGAAGGTCATGAAAGTTTCTAGTCGACAGACTGCTTCCCACCATTACCTAGTCTGTGGTGAGTGCAAGGCTGAATATATGGAAGTGAGGTTAAGCAGTCATGAGCAGGATATGATGAATATTTAGGTGTGCCTTCAGTGGGAACAAGGCAATATCCTGGCAAGTAAAGGCAGTTGACATGATTTCACCACATCATCAGTGAAGTGCTGATTGGTCTGAGAAAGCATGTGTATAGCAAACATATGCCTCATGTATCACTGTCATATAAAGGGTCTTTTATTTACTCTTTTCTTTCCTTTTTGTTTATATAAATTTTTTTTTAAAATTTGAATGCACCTGTGATCCTAATCATCATCATTATCTTGACAGTGCATTGATAAAGCTCGGGATATCTTAGACACAGAGTTGACTGCCATGGCTGGCGAGAGTTACAACAGAGCCTATGGGGTAAGTTGTCACAGGTTAAATGCATACATGCTACTGTCTCTTTTTTGTTAGTATAGGACATCCCCACGTGGATTTCAGAGCCCCATTTAGGGACAAATGAATGAATAGATCCACGGCTCTTAAAAAAAGCACGTACAAAAAAGCGATAATTTAAAGGTTTTTAAAAAATTATAATCTGACACTTTTGGTAAAAAGGCGCAGATATTGCAGCCTAGCCCTAAACCACAACACAGTTAATCTGCTGCCCTGTTGCAGAAGAAGAAGAAGAAAAACCGGATCTCAACATATTTCATTATAGTGAAGTCCAGGTTATATTTATAAAGGTTATGCATGCGTGGGGGTGGGGGTAGGGGCAATATATATATTATATATTCATATACACACACACACACACACACACAGACACACAAATATATATTATTCTAATGAAATGAAATTATGTTTATGTGCACAGTGAACCCTTCTTATATGTACGCTTTGGTATACATTCAGCTTAGTATACATCTTGTTTAGACCCATAAACCTTTGTCTGGTATATGGCTTTTGTTTGGAATATGAACTTGAGGGATGGTCACAATTTTGTCTTTCAAAAAGTCCAGTTCACCCTCTCCATATTCTCTGTGACCAGTCGAGTCCTGTTCATTCGTTAAACGTCACTGACAGTTCACTTGACGGCCGTCAAATAGGGTCCCAACATATTTGAATCAACTAACCAGTGAAAGAATGCATTTTTCAGTGTGCTTGTTTACAGAAGAATGGGTGGCAGGTGATCTCCTGGGCAATAAAGGTATGCAGCATGATACTGACCACATTACCACATCCCGTGCTGATTGGTCTAAAAATACAGGTCTAGCACTTTAGGCCAGATGTGCCATTTACCTGAGAGAAAGGTCCTCGACTAAGTGTTCAATAGGACTCACAAGGTCTGACAAAAACGAGTCTTTTTACATTTTTTAAATTTAACTCGTAGATGCCTTACCTGTGACCTTTTTTGTGTTTAAGGCCATGGTGAATGTCCAGATGCTAGCAGAACTGGAGGAGGTGATCCAGTACAAGCTGGTGCCAGAACGGAGAGAGGCAATCAAACAGATGTGGTGGAACAGGCTCAAGGTAAGCAACATGTATTCCCTATAAAAATGATGGTTGTCACATTGTGCTCTAGTTGGCAGCTGAGCTGCAGTAAGTCTGCCTTTGAGACCATTCTGTTTCAGCAAAAACTTAATTAGTCACCTTGTATATCATTACAGGTTTAACTTCTTTTCTTCTCCTTTGTAAAGTGGCATTTAGCAAGATGCAAAAGATTCTCACCAACAAGAAGATTTAAGTTGCAGTGAGAAAAATAGAGTTGTGCTATGTAGAACCTGTGTGTGTTATTTACATGTGAAACATGGACAGTAAGCAAACAAGCCGGAAAAACAGTTGCCTGCGGCAGAGATGTGGTTTCTGAGAATAATGCAAAGGAATATCATGGAAGGGTTTAAACAGAAGAATGATTCAGTCTTCATCGAGACAGATGAACGTTATAAACTTATTAGAACAATTAGATGTAGATGGTCAACTTGTTCAGAGGGGGGGGGGGGGGGAGCTGTTTAAGGATACAATGCAGCGGAATAGACTGCAAGCCCTATGTGACATATAATGGCACAACCGGAGGATAATGATGATGATATATTTTCCATCATATCATTACAGGTTTAACTTCTCCTCCTCCTCCATAAATGTATATCATGACTATCTAAGGTATAACATTACTAGTCTCTACATATACATTATTTTGGCATATATTATATATGGAGTGAACACTACTTATTTTGTTTTTCTGAGTCACTTACATAGTGTTTCACTCTGCAGGGATGTCAAAGAGTGGTTGAGGACTGGCAGAGGATCCTGCAGGTTCGGTCTCTCGTCATATCTCCAGAGGAAGACATGGATGCCTGGCTAAAATATGCCAGTTTGTGTCGCAAGAATGAGCGACTGGTAAGTTTGAAATGTTTTTTTTTTAAAAAAAAACAACAGAGAAATGTGTCCAAATGAGATGTAAAACTATAAATTTTCCCAAATAAAAAGCAGTCATATTCTTTTTCTTCTGCATTCGCCCGTAAAAATGAATCTGTCACATTTTATTGTGGTTTACAGCTAGGCTGCAGTAACTGCAACTCTTGGCCCAAGACATCTAATTTCAGCAGACCTCTGATTGGTTGCTTTTTACAACATGCTTGTTAGGGAAATGTAAACCTGTTGTTTTTGCTTCCCCAAAATGGAGCCTCTAGGAAACCCACACAGGGACATTGTTACCTGGAACCCCCATGATAAGATAGTCACCAAGAATACACACAGTGACAGTTACCTGGAATCCAAAATGTGACAACCATCCAGAACCCACATAGTGACATAATGACCAAGAATCCACACAGTGACAGTTACCTGGAATCCAAAAAGTGACACAACCATCTGGAACCCACATATTGACATAATCACCAAGAATCCACACAGTGACAGTTACCCAGAATCCACACCGGGACAGTTACCCAGAATCCATACAGTGACAGTTACCCAGAATCCACACAGTGACAGTTACCCAGAATCCACACCGGGACAGTTAACTGGAATCCACACAGTGACAGTTACCCAGAATCCACACAGTCACAGTTACCTGGAATCCACCTCTCTCCCTTTACAGGCACCTCTCACATAAATATTTGCACCATTCTGCATTTGCAGGCACTGCTCCACAGAAATAGTTGCACTTTTCTCCCTTTACAGGCACTGTCTCGCAGAAATAGTTGCACCTTTCTCCCTTTACAGGCACTGTCTCGCAGAAATAGTTGCACCTTTCTCCCTTTACAGGCACTGTCTCGCAGAAATAGTTGCACCTTTCTCACTTTACAGGTACTGTCTCGCAGAAATAGTTGCACCTTTCTCACTTTACAGGCACTGTCTCGCAGAAATAGTTGCAACTTTCTCACTTTACAGGTACTGCCACAATAATAATAGCATTTTTGTGTGTGCCTTTTTCCAGGCCTTGTCCCACAAGACGCTGGTGACCTTGCTGGGCAGTGACCCACTTAAGCAGCCAGACCATGTGATTCCAACCACACACCCGAAAGTCACATATGCGTATCTGAAACATATGTGGAAGGATAATCGTAAGGTATGATTTATCATCCTCATTATCGTCACATTCCATTTTTGCCATTAAACATCGTTAATGCCTTTCACATTCTTGGGTGCTCTCTTAATTTAGTGCCAGATCAGATCTTTGTAGATGTGGCTCAGATGCTGGTAGTTGTTGTGGCTGCATTCTAACGAGGTGACTGAACCATTTGATTTTCTGCTTCTCAGTTAATTTCAGTGCATGGTGTTTTTCCCACAGTCTGTCTGAAAGTATTATTTCTCACTCTGTCTTGGGTGCCAAGTTGACAGCTTTCCTCGCTTATGATTACAGTTTCTTAAATATAAATGTGTATATTTTTGAAAGTTTTGCATTTAAACTCCTTCAGTCCCAAACAGTTCTTACTTTAACTCCTTTAACCACATTGAGTTAAGGTTGAAAGTAGTAAATATTTGCATTTGAAGTTGTTGAACAGCAACTCAGTAGGACAGAAACATTTAAACTAATAATTCATACCTTCATCAAGTGCCTTGCCAGCTGGTGTAGGCATTCATGCATCTCCACAGATCTTTGGTGTTCTGAATCAATTCCACTGATGATATTCCTCCATGCCACTGTCTTAAGCCATCCACTATCATTTCTCTTGGTCTGCCTCTGCCTCTTCTGCCAGTGATCTTTCTCGTCGTCACAATATTTTCCAGTACTCTTTTCATATACAGTAGTTAAAATAACATCTATCTGTGACAGAAGACAGCAGAGGCATCATATTATCATTTGGAATGACCAAGAAACTTATGGTGCCTTACTTGGCACTGAAAAAGTTAATATGAATGAGTCAAGGCTTGTGCCTGGAACAAGCCTTGACTCATTCATACTAACTTTTTGGTGTGAAAATGAGTCCTTTACATATTCTGCGCTCAGGGTGATGTATTTCTAGCATCTCTACCATTCACATGTCTTGATTAAAGAGCCCTGTTCTGGCAACTTGGTCTCCATTTTCTAAATCAAGTTTTCATGATTTGAAACCAACAAAAATTATTTTCTTAGACTTCAACATCTGCGATGTTCCTCATCCCGATTCTTTTGCTACCTTTCATCTTCTTATGAAACACAGGCTGACATCCAGGAAACCAAGTTCCTTGTGAATGTTTTCATTACGAGAAATGTTCAGCTAGTTTTCTACATGATGGGACATGCAGTCTCTTGCCAGCTGTCAGGAATTGGTGGCAGGATACATTTTTTTCTATTCTTTATCTTCCATACTGGTCCCAGTAACTTGTAGATGAAAAAAAATAAACAGGCTTCATTGTCCGCAGTTGCCAAATCAGTAACATGGCTAGAGATACAAACTGCACATGCTTTTTAAGTACGCTCATAAAGATAGAGATGAGATGTATCTGAAAACAGTGGTTAGTGTCTCTAAAGCGGTTGACTCGACAGCATGCATGCATGCAAGGAAATGAACAAGCTGGTAGTCTTACGGGTAATGGCCCAGAAGCCATAGACCATACTGATATACTAAATGCTGTCTGAAAAGTAAGACATTTGCGAGAACTGACTGCAAGAGCAGCAAGTTAATAAAAGTTGTGGCCAGACAAGTGCCCTGTGCAGGAAGTCAAAAAAGAATTAAAAAACCAACACAGAAATGTTTTCATTAGCGGCTACATGCTGCAGCATTTACTGAGGAGGGGATTCAAGCATATATGGACTGAATGGTTCAATTTGCAATGAGGATAATCTGCTAACTAACTGTTGTCAGTCTATCGGATCAACTATTAAAACATTGTTTTGTTACCTGTAGATTGATGCCTACAACAAACTACAGATGTTTGTGAGGCAGTCCCTGCAGACCAAGTCCTTGCAGATCATGGGACCTGATGAGGCAACCCAGAGAACTAGGCTCAACCAGCTGACTGCAAGGTATGCCATCATGTCTTCTTTAATGCTTGAAAAACCTTCTTCTTTTTTTTCAACAGTGATGCTTCAAGCAGATGATCCTAGACTCATATTTTATAGGCCAATCCAGCACTAATTAGGTGATGTTGTCAACAACACCCTTACTTCCCAGGACTTCACCTGGTACCTGTTTTGAGGCTGGAGCCATGTGTGCTGCATGCATCGCTTCAGACATCCCAGGTCGTTAGCATCCTTTGGATATTATCTCCCAGTCATACAGGTGCATTTAGAAACAAAAAGGCAGACAGATTGTTGGCTGGCTCTGCCTCACTTGGTGGTAACTTAAATACGTGACAAGCTAGATGTTATCAAGGCCCTTTGTTAAAGGCAACGGACTTATACAAGGCTAATTTCTGTCAGGTCAGGTACAGACAGTACTTAAACGGGTGATTTCTGAAAAGACATTAACCCCGAAGAGGAATGAATACCCATACCAATTTAATACAAGCCGTACTTTGTGGTGGTTAACACCCTGACAAGAAAGTGCCGTGATTTGGCACCAACGATAGTTGATGCAGAAATAAAAGCATTGGTGGAGGATCACACACAACACCGGAAGATGATATGTTCATATGGTTCTGTGATTTGTCAGAAGCAAAGTGCATGAGCTTTCACAGTAAGAACCAAGGGGAAAGTCATCAAAAAAGCAGTTGAGTCTTTGCTTCTACCACCATGACAGTGGAGGTCATGACTGGAACAAAGGCCCTAAGAGTGACTGATAACTCAGAAATACACTAATACATGTTTGCTCAGTGACTCAGAGAGTATGCTACAGAAGATCAAGTGGGGTATATATGGAAACATTGGCTCAGTGTTTCGCAAAATACTTTAATTTTTTTCTTCATGCTGGTGTGAAACACAATGTGGAAGCAGATGCCCTGACTGGCAGTGCAACTATCAGGAATGGGCCACTATAGACAGGAGAGACATCAATGCTATATGAGAGACAACACTGTGAGGCTTTCAGTTTCGTGGAAAATGATTTTTCACTGAATAGACTGCATAACCTGGTTGTACCAGTTGGAGCTGTGAGACAGGAAAACCACGCTGGAGCCACCCGCCGTTATATCAACCAGAACGGAATGGGAGTTGTTAGCCTGAAAACACTTAGAGACATACACAGGAGGATATCGGAGCACTTATGTTCATGTTAGATGTGTGATGAAGATGATCTCTAAAATGAACATGAACAATGGGAATGGGTGAACAGTGCAGAGGCAGAACTAGATCAACAGGTCTGAAGTGAATGGAGCAAGGGGGAATATCCAGGGGATGTGGCCGACAACTTTAAACTCATAAAACAGGCAAGAAGGACAAACAGTCAGACTGCTACTGGTATGATTGGGATTGTGCTGGCTGTCATAAAACAGGTCAAAAGGACATACAGTCACACTGCTGCTGGTATTATTGGGATTGTGCCGGCTGTCGAAAATGTGAATGGATTGAGGGGTCCCGAGTGCTATGATATGAATTCTTTACTCAGCTGAACTTTCTGTAGCCAGTTGATTTATTGTGTTCGGCACTCAGGTGTTACTTGCGACTGGGCCAGTGGTCGGAGGATCTCCATGGGGTCACAGAGGAGTCCATCCCGCAGATTCTTGACTACTACAACCTGGCTAAAGAAAATGACGACACCTGGTACAAGGTCAGTCAGTCCTTTGTTTTTGTGTGTGTGTGAAACTGCTGGATGTCTTCAATGTTCTTTGGTGTGTTCTTTGCATTTGTCTCATCATTATCATCAGTCACCATCATTATCAAATCTTCTTAAGGAAGGAAAGGCGTCAGGCCCAGATGGTATCCCAGCTGAAGCCATCAGGACCAACATAAACACATCAACAGAATTGCTACATAGATTATTCAGTAAAGTCTTGGAGACCGAAGAAATACCAGCAGACTGGAGAGAAGGATATCTTGTGAAACTGCCCAAAAAAGGTGATCTACAGGAGTGTGAAAACTATAGAGGAATTATGTTGCTGTCAGTTCCTGGAAAAATATTAAGTAGAATTATTTTGGAAAGATTAAAAGATGCTATTGATAAAATACTAAGAGATGAGCAGGCAGGTTTTCGGTCAAACAGATCCTGTACTGATCAGATAGCCACATTACGTATTATAATAGAGCAAAGCATTGAACTGAACTCACCACTTTACATTGGATTTATAGACTATGAAAAAGCATTTGACAGCATTGATAGGGAATCTCTCTGGAAATTGATGGGGCACTATGGAATCCCACAGAAAATTATCAACTTAGTAAAGGCAACATATAAAAGACATGAAATGTCGAGTTCTTCATGAGGGAAAGCTAACAGATGCATTTGAAATAAAAACAGGTGTGTGCGACAGGGATGTCTTTTGTCGCCTCTTCTATTTTTACTGGCTATAGACTGGACTATGAAAACAGTAACTGCTAACACCAAGAATGGAATTCAGTGGACCCCTACAAAACAGCTTGATGATCTGTACTTCGCTGATGATATTGCCCTTCTGTCCCATTCACGGAATCAGATACAAGATAAATTAAATATACTTAATGCGAGATCACAGCAGCTTGGTCTGAAAATCCATAAAGGAAAGACAAAGATAATGAGAATAAATCAGGCAAATAGTAGTGTGGTTTCTCTTAATGGCACCCCACTCCAAGACGTGGAGTCGTACACCTATTTGGGCAGTAATGTAGATAAAGATGGAGGAACTGATAGAGATATTAAAATAAGAATACAAAAGGCAAGCGGGGCTTTCATAGCACTAGGGAATTTGTGGAGGTCAAAAAAAAATTAAAAGAAATACTAAACTAAAAATTTTTAATTCTAATGTCAAATCAGTACTATTGTATGGGGCTGAAACATGGAGAACAACGAAAGCAATTACTAATAAATTACAGACATTCATTAACTGGTGCCTGCACAGAATAGAGGGAATAAAATGGTATGATAGAATAACTAATGTAGAACTTTGGGAGAGAACTAAACAGGCTTCAGTGGATCAGGAGGTGAGGAAAAGACGCTGGCGTTGGATAGGGCACCCACTGAGAAAACAGGAGAACAGCATAACTAGAATGTCTTTGCATTGGAACCCACAGGGGCATAGGAATAAAGGAAGGCCAAAAAACACATGGAGAAGAGAGCTGGAGAATGAGGTTAGAAAGATTGGGAGGACATGGGGAGAGCTCCAGGTAATGGCGAAGGATAGAACGACTTGGCGTGAGTTGGTTGAGGGCCTATGCTCCATTGGGGGATAGAAAGGCAGAAGAAGAAGACCATCATTATCAGCATCGTCATCCTGTTTGGCCAATACATGCCACAGTGGGCTTATATTTTAGTCTTCAGTTCTGCTCTGTCTTCATCTAAGACCATTGGAAAACACATATTCACTGAAGTAACAACGAAAATAATTGTATAGTTGGGGGTCATCACAACATGAGGTACTGTATTAAAGGGTTGTGGCTTTAGAAAGATTGAGAACCACTGCAGTATATGGCCATGTCTGCAGTGACCTGTTGCCCCAGGAGCATAGTTAAATTCCATTGGTTCTGTGTGCACCTGTGCTGTGTTTAAAAAGCCAGGATATGAGTATAGTATTTTTTTTTTTTTAAATGCATTTTGAGGGGTTACCTTACCACAAGGGTTCACAGCTTGAGTCATTCGATAACATTGTGGGGGGTGGGGGGGGGGGGGGGGGCATCGTGTCTGGTTGCAGCATTACTGCAATATTTTTTCTTTTTGATCACTTCCACGGGCATTTGTTAGCTGGATTAGCCTTCTTGGTGGATATGTATAATTTGTTTCATGTTTATTGATAACCCCTTTATATATACACACACACACACCCCCCCCCCCCCCCAAAAAAAAAAATTTAAAAGTAAGGCTAAAAACATAGATATCATTTTTTAAAAATTTAGTCTTATTAGGATATTTTTTAAAGGATTTTTGGGGGGGAGGGAAATTCCTACAAGTTTGTAACCCCCTTTCTCCCTCTTTATTTTTGAGTTTTGTTATACCAAAATGGGAGCTGCCATGGTCTAGCGGCTAGACACTCGCTTGCTGATCAGAAGGTCGTCGGTTCAGTTTCTGATGGTCGGATTTGTTTTAAAAATGACTTTGGTTACCAGGTCGACCCAGCTTTGAATGTTTACCAGCTGTAGTTCTGGGAAGTAAAGGCGGCCGGCGTGATGCTCACCACATTACCCACCAAGTGCTGTTTGGTCTATAAAATATGGGCCTAGCCCTGTACACGCAATATGCATGAGAGGTGTGAAAAAAGGGTCCTTCACTTTGCTTTACATAGGCTAAAGGGGTTAAAAGACATGGGAGGCAGAGGTGCTGAACCACACCTGCTGGATGACCAGGGCTGATACTGGTTAAGACATGACATTCACCTCTCCGCAATCATCCTAGAAATAGTTTCCCTACCAGGAGCCTGACCAACATGATAGTTTTTTTTTCTTCTTAAATTGGAGTTCATGTATCTGAGACACAAGAAACCAGTGTCTGCACACAGTTAAGCCAGATCTGTAAAACAGATGTGCCTGCAAAACTCAGGTCCTAAACAACACAGGAGTCAAGAAGTGGACAACCAACCAGAAGTGTCCACTGAAGTTTACAGCCGGTAAACATGAAGAAGAAGAAAATGCATGATGTTCTTTAAAATCATCATCATCATCTGTGATGTCTGTGTTCTTCTAGGCTTGGCATGCACTGGCACTGATGAATTATGAAGCAGTTCTGTTCTACAAGCAGAAAGAACAAGCAGCAACTGCTGCATCCTCAGGAATTGACCTTGACCAACCACCCCGTCTGGACCACTCCCCCAGGCCAGAAACGGTGAGTCTTTGATTTTTTTTTCTTCCCCACATTTGTTGGCCTTGTTTAACACGACTGTGGTTAAGAAATACAAAATTTGTAACCCTATTTAACACCCTATGGTTTAAAAAGAACCATTTTTGACCATATTAAACACTCCTTTGATTTAGAAAAAAATTGTTTAAGCAGTTTATAAAGAAAATTTTTTGGGACCATGTTTAACAATCCTGTGGTTTAGAAAGAACATTTCTTGATTATGTTTAATACCCCACTGATTTATAAAGAGCAATTTGTTTACCAATTTTAAAACCACTATGGTTTAGAAAGAAAATGTGTTGACCATATTTAACACTCCATTGGTTTAGAAGAACAATTTGTGGACTATGTTCATCATCACAGTGGTTTAAAAGTAACAGTGTCTTCCCACAAAGAAACACATTGAAGAATGATATTGAACACTTAGAGATGAAAAGGGAAAAAAGCATCAAAATCAACCTTCAAGAAATCAAGACCAAACTATACAACACTTTATAAAGAGCACGCTGATGATCCTCATATCTTCCCCCAACACTTTTCTGGGGTAACTGGAAAACTATGAAGATGAAGACAGGTCTGTCTGTGAAGATCAGAATCTGCTTTTAAACTTTAAAAATATAAAGTATTTAAAAAGAATGTTTTCCTTTTGTAAAATTAAAAAATCAGACACTTTATTGCTAAACATATTTTGCTGTGTCTGACCAGGTGCATTCTGCATAATATACATCAACAGGTATGAAGCACACAAATTAATCCTTTCAACAGAGATGTCCAGATCACATTGTCTATTGTCACACTGTATATCTCATCACATAAATCTTAGATTAACCGCATGTTCCTTTTGTTTACAAAACCTAATTTCAGGTGCCTCATTTTAAAATGTCTTTTCATTGTTAGAAATCAGTTGCAGCCAAACCTTGAATTTATAGAAAATATTATAGACACTTTCATAGAGTACCATGGATCAAAAAGGAGAAAATAGTGACATTTTGCACACAAAAAATGGGAATTCTTATCTACCATAAATTAGTGGTAATTTTTTGAATACTTTCAGTAATTTACCACTGTTTTTTCCATTCGCACTTTTCAAATATCTGGAAAAGTCTACAGCTGGTTCCATAATTTAATTTTGATTCGTCTTTACAAATCACGTATTTGTAAGCCTGATAGATTTTCCAGATAATTGAAAGGATTGCATATGTTTCTTCTGTTGTGCCTGTCAGCTTCCTGCTGTAAGAATGTTTATTCCTTTGAAAATAAAAAAACGTCAGATTGCTGCAAAGATACAGAGGCATTGCATCCCAGCTGTGCATGGGTTTTTCAAGTCTATTGATCTCTCATCACAAAATAGCCTACAGGACACACTCAGGCAAGACTCTCATGTTTGTGATGGTTTCTGATTTTTTTTAGATGTGTGATGTTTTGTGATATTAATAATGTCTTGTGATACTTGTAGTTTGTGATGTTTTTGAGACATTTGATTTGTTATGATGTATTAAGATACCATGTGGTGGTTTATGAGTTTTGGTCATGTTGCTTAATGATGACTTAATGATGTTTGTGATGGCTAGTGGTGTTTTGAAATTCTTGTTATACTTATGATGTTTGTAATGTTTATATGCTGTTTTTGTGACCTTTGTGAAAGTTTGTGATGCTAGTAATGTTTTATGATGCTTTGTTCATGATTTATGAGGCCTTTTGATATTTGTAATGTTTTGTGATGTTGTCTCAGCAGCCAAGTGCACTGGCCAGGATGCAACTAAAGCTCCACACAAGGGTCTTTGTGGCAAAGCAGTTAAGCAGTTTGCCTTACACTCTGAAGGCCGTGAGTTCATTTCACGTGTGCGTCACTCGGTTCACAACTGCAGTTTTTACTGAGACCCTGGGGGTTGTTGCTGGATCTACAGTGTTTATGCTTTGTGCAACATTCCCGGCAGGCGGCTAGCCGATTTGCTGTGAGATACTGAGCCATAAGAGATCAAATATGAATCAATAACATCAGTCTCTTCTCTATACTTTAACCCTCAACTGTTTCAGTCCCAAATGGCGCAAAATGTGTACTGGGTAGTACTCATGAGCACCAATCAACATATTTTGCATATTTATACATCTTAAGTTCAATCGGGCAAACTAACTCAGTCCAACAACACAGATAACCCACTGTGTGCTGTGTATTTGGACCCTGTGGATGCAGTATAGCTTCTGTTGCCATCATGATTACTTCCATAAGGCATCAGCTATTAACTAATAGGACTAAAAAGTTAACTTTAAACTGTAATTACATCTTCCGCAGTAGCAACGACACACAGGATAATCACAACTGTTTACTTTGCCAACAGACTTCTGACCCTGTGGTTTGACTATGGGCAGTGGCCGGAGGTCTATGAGATCATGGGAGAGGGAATCAAGAGCATTCAGATAGACAACTGGCTGCAAGTGATTCCTCAGCTGATAGCTCGCATTGATACACCCAGGTCTCTGGTACAGAGGCTGGTTCATCAGCTTCTTGTAGAGATCGGTAAAGCTCATCCACAGGTCAGTTAACTCTTTTAGCATCTGCTGTATTCTTGATGCTGACAGCTTTTCTTCTTTGTGGATTGCATGAGACTGAAGAAAGTGCTATCCAGAGAAACTTCAGATGGATGTTATCATTATCAGTATTCTTATCTTTCTTCTGTAAAACAACATCTCTATACATGCTTGCTGCTGGAATCACCAGCATTCATTTAACTTCTTCAGTACATTTTCCATCTGCTGTTAAAAGGGAAACTAATTCGTTATAGTCTGCGTCTGTGGCTTAGGCATTGTGAACGAACTGTGTAACTCCAAGAGACCTGGTTTGATTCCAGTTGCAGGCAGTTAGGCAGCAGAATGTTTTGCGTTGATTTCAACAATGGTATTGCAAGCTGACCATTCAGAAAGCCATGCTTCGCTATGGAATGTAAAATTGCTGAATAAAACAAAAACACATCACTCACCGAGTGCCGATTGGTCTGTAAAATGTAGGTCTAGCCCTATATGCCGAGTATGCCAAAGAGCATGGAAAAGGGTCCTTTACTTTTACTTTTAAAACCAGAACAGCCAGAAAATGCTGGGGATAGTTCTGCAAGCGTCCATGAAAAGGATATGCAACTGACTTTATAAATCCTCATCAAGAAAAGATATAAAACTGAACAAAAAGTATATCAGCGAGCTTCACAATATAACAAACTTATGGGGAATAGAGCTACTGTTCCCTAACAAGCATGTTGTAGAAGGCAACTAAGGTGGGTTTTGCCAAAATCAGATGTGTTGCACAGAAAAGTGCAGATACTGCAGCCAAGCTGTAAACCACATCATTATGCGCCAGCTGCTGTTTTAAGGGCCAACAGAGAAGAAGAAGCATATCAATCATTTTATGAGTTGGAATTCTTTTTAACTATCCAGATTTCTGTATCAGCTTATCACAGGCTACTTACATTATGTTCATGACCAGGTCAGGCACTCTTTTACAGAAGTCATGCTGTTTTGAAACTTCCTGCTCCACTCATACACTTGCTGGACTGATAGGCTTCATACCGGACCTTCATTTACCGTACTGATGAATTTCTATAGGTTTTACCCCTTCATTTATTTAAAAAAAAATTTGAATAACAGAGTGCTTCTCCTCTTTGAAGCATGTCAGAAGTGGGCTACCATCTTTAAACTGCCACTGTGATGTCACCATGTCCATTTGCACATGCTTAACACTGTTAACCTCTTTAACAACAGTATTGGCAATTACAAGACAATTGCATGGTTATTGTAACTTCTTATCTCACTTCTAAGGTTTTCATGTGAAGACCCTTCACATTTTATTGTTTCAGTGAACAAGCTCAACTTTTTGACTACCACACAGCACATCATATGTACATTGATTAGGTCAGAGACAGTATACATTTCTGACTGTCATAGACAGCAGATGATTATTAAATTAACTCATTTAATCTGAAGTGTTAGATTTTACTCCCTCTGCTTCTCAGTGTTACTGTTGTAATATCTTCCTACTCAGTTGTTGGCTGTTCTAAACTAAAACTTATTGGGATAAACAAAAAAGCTACAGTAATTTCCCAAAGGCTTGTATCAAAACAGTTAATAGATCTGGTGTGATTGTACATAGCTGTCTAGTGCCGTGTTAAAAAGTTCCCATTTGTTTGTCACTTTGTTTGTGGCTGCTTCTTGTTCTAGCTCATCTTCATCCTCATGGCATACCGTTACAAAGGGCTCATAGTCTAGTCATCCATATCTTTCTGCCCTGTGCAATCCTGTCGATATCATGGTTGGACTGCAGGACTCCAGTTCAACACCTTTGACCTCTGTCGACAATGTTTGTCTTAGTGTCTTCGGGTTTCTGTTTGACATGCTTGTTTCTCTCAGTTCATTTGTTTCTCATTTCAGTGCATCTTTTTTTTTGGTTGGGAAAAGGGGGAGGGGGAGAGAGCAGTGTTCCTTTAAAAAACAATACTGTGCCATTAGTGTCAGTATTTTCCAACATTTCAATCACCTCTTTATGATCTTTTTATCAAATCTTTTAATTAAAATCCCACTCATGGATACCCTACAGGCCCTCATCTATCCGCTAACTGTGGCTTCCAAATCAAATACTGCCTCACGCCAGGCAGCTGCCAACAAGATCCTCAAGAGCATGTGTGAGAGGAGCCAGACCCTGGTAGCTCAAGCGATGCTGGTAAGGATGTGTGACGTTCTTATCTTATTTTATATTGTTTAGTTAGGATGGGAGCTGCGTGGTGTAGTGGCTAGATGCTTGCTTGTGGATCTGAAGGTTGTGGGTTCAAGTCTAAATGAAATTGAGCTTTTTGTAAAAAGAAGTAAGAGGCCGAGGCAGACCAAGAGAAATGTGGCTGCATTTTCTATGAAGATGGAATGGAGGAATTTGATTAATTGAATTGTGCCAGAACACCTATAGGTAGTAAACACACACATCAAGGGTCCCTTTATTTTACTTGTACTTCTCTGGCTTAGAAGTTGGTGAAATCACTTCACAGTGCAATCCTCGACATTTAGCTTTCTTCGGTTTCCGCCACTGACAGTTTAGAAAATACCAACCTGGTGGCTTTTCACACAGTAGTACAAGAGTCGCACTGTAGAAAATATTAGGTCCCCATCATATAACATTATGGAGATGGCACAGTTTAAAAAACCTTTTAGAATACATCTTTATTGGTGTATTTAGTTGATGTATGAAGATCATTTTACCAAACATTTTGTGACAGAAATAAATAAATCTATTTAGGCATTTTGGTAAAATTATCTCCTCTCCTGTCTTGACTTTCACCAGTGGTTAACTCTGGTGGAAAGATCTGGTTGTTTGTGTACTTCCCTTCTTTAGTCCTGTTCCGGAACTTAAGTGTTGTGTGCACATCTGTTTTACAGATCTGCCTTATTTGAATGCAGACTGTTGGTTCTTAGCCTCTACGGCAGATGTACTCAGACTTGGAAAGAAGGCCCCACTTAGTCGACTCTTACGACATGCTTGTTGGGGAGGCTGTGTCAGTTCTTATTTGACCCACAATGGGTTCCCAGAACCCACACAGGGACTGTGAAATATGAAAAGAGTTATTTCTTTGCTTTGCTGGGAAAAATTGTCACATTCCACCTTTATCTCCATGCTCTAAGTTATAATTGTGACTAGGTTATGTGCACCATATAAAATGGCTTAGCACTGCACGCCACCGAGAGCCCTGAAAGTGACTCCAGCAGTGGTGATGATATCAAAGGAGGAGCCCCAAATACTGTCCTGACTGGCGATGAAGTCAACTACCGGTAAGTCAGTGGCTGTCACTGATGTCTATAGTTATTTCTCCCTTTTGTCACCAGGTTTCAGAAGAACTCATTCGAGTGGCCATCTTATGGCATGAACTCTGGCATGAAGGACTTGAGGAGGCCTCTAGGTTGTACTTTGGAGACAGGAATGTCCGAGGCATGTTCAGCACCCTGGAGCCTCTTCATGCCATGATAGAGCGTGGCCCTCAGACTCTGAAGGAAACATCTTTCACACAGGTCAGTGTGCATCCATAGGGTGGATAGCTTGAGAGTTTAGTCTTGGTGAACTCTCTCTCTCTCTTATCTTATATAGTTTTTAGAGATTAATTTGGATTATCTTCACAGCAGCCTGGACAAATCAATAAATGCTCTAATCTCCTCTTCATTAACTCCACAAGTGTCATCTGACTGATAACGACTGTTCTGTGTTGATTAATCAAACATCTTGAGCCTGTAGTGAAATGCTTATATTCTCTTTTCTTGCATCTTTTTTATTTTCTGTCATCTTCATACTACAAAATCTTATTATCATGTGGTGTTCTGATGAGTCATGTCACATGATCACTTGTCCTGAATCAGATTTGTGCACTTTGTCTTAGCCTTAGTTGAGGTTTCAGCCTCAGTGCAGTCGGGTTTTCCTGTAGTTGCACCGTTTCTGTGCCAGTGCAAATCAGGTGAAATGTTCTTCACTGTCTCATTTGAAAAATGGTGAACAAACTATTAGTTCCGGAACAATCCATAAATATGCACACGCTGTGAAAATGTGTGCTTCGTGTAATCAGGTATTTGCAGTTCTAACTGCACAGCAAACAGGTCACCCCATAGTTGCTCCGTGCCTGTGCCAACAAAAGCCTTACTTGAATGCCTGTCACTGCCACTTGTGAAAAAATAAAATTGATATAGACTGAAGTCTACCTCATCATCAGTCAGCAAGTATACTGAATGTCGCTGTCCTAACGGCATGCCTGAAAGTCTCTCATTCTCCAGCCAGTGCTCTAGCCCAATGTGCTTTCATAGCCAATGCATCTTCAGTGTTTCGTATCCATCTTCTATGTCTGGAAACTGTACCCTCCTTTACTGTTCTCTTTCCAGGCCACAATGACACCTAACATGAACAAAATACTTTGTGACTGGATGCAGTATATGAATCAATTCTCCTCGATGTTCAGATTCTGTCGGATTTCAGTATTTTTCTAGTCTGCCTATCTTCATTAAAAGCCTACCAGATAATTTTGTTTTTAAAGGAAATTCTCTGGCAAAGAAAGGTGATAATATATTAAATTGGTCACTCTACCTCATGTCAGGCCTAGATTGTGTCAAGGCCTAGCACTTTACACTCCATTGCTAGTATCTACTATGGGACTGTCTTTACCTTTACTTGCTGTAAATTCATTTTATTGAACCAAGAGGTGAGGAAAGATGCTGGCATTGGAAAAGTCACACACTGAGACAACCTGATAACAGTATTACTTAAATGTCAGTATGACTAGAATGTCTTAACACAGCCACAAGTGTATACAATTTAAGATAGGTGAATGAACCATGTTCACATGTGGGAAGGTGCCCCAGACAGCAGAACACATAATTCAGGACTGCACTAAATATTACACATTAGGACAAACCCTTTGGGGAAACAAAAAGAGGGAGAGAACAGCAGTGGCAGATAGACTCTTTTGACGACTGAATAAACTAAAAAAAAAAAAAACAATACTGAAATTTATACGAGAGACAAAATGGCTAAAGTAGACAACTTATTTCAGGCAAACAGAAGAAGAAGAAGGTCTAAACACTGTAACCCACTGGGTCAAAGAAATGAAATCAGGGCTGCTAACACATACATGGAGGAGGTTATTATTTAGAGAATGAAATGAAAAATATAGGAAGACCATGGGGATGAACTGTGTGTGACAGCAAAAGATAGGACAGCTTGGCTTGAGTTGGTTTAGGGTCTGTGCTCCTTGGGGAAGTAAAGGACTGCATATTCTTCATTCTCTCAACACTGCCGAAAAAATTGTGCGTGTGGACATCCACATAGCAGTAATGATGCCTATTTCTTTGTTTGCCTCTATGTTTTTTAGGCTTATGGTCGTGACCTTATGGAAGCCCAGGAGTGGTGCAGAAAGTACCAACGTTCAGGTGTTGTCAAGGACCTAACCCAAGCCTGGGACCTCTACTATCATGTGTTCAGGAGGATCTCCAAACAGCTGCCTCAGGTATTGTACTATGTGTGGCTAGGATTTTTGTGTGCTATGTTCAGCACAGGTTTAGTATGGCACACATTTTTTGTACAGTGTGTGTGGCTAGGTTTTGTGTGTGTAAGGTTCAACACAGGTTTATTACACAAGGTATGGCCCAGGTTTACTGTACCTTATGCGCAGCTAGTTTTTCATGTACAAGTTTCAACACAGGTTTATTACACAAGTTGTGACACAGGTTTATTATACTAAGTACAGCATCGGTTTATTATACCAGGAACGGCTCAGATTTGTTGTATTCCTATGGCTAGGTTTATTGTATAAGATGTGGCACATGTTTATTATTCCAGGTATGGCATTGGTTTATTGTACCTGGTAAGGTTAAGGTTTATTGTACCTTGTATAGCACATGTTTATTGTATCTGGTACAGCATCACTTTACTGTATCAGGTAAGGCTGAGATTTATTGTACCATGTATAGCACAGGTTTATTGTATCGGGTACAGCATCAGTTTGTTGTACTAGGTAAGGATTAGATTCATTCTGCCATGTTACCATATAAGGATTAGGTTTATCCTGTCATGTATAAAATATGTAGCACAGGTTTATTGATCAGGTTTTGCATCAGTTTACATTACCAATAAATGGCTCAGATTTATTTTACCAGGTACAGCATTAGTTTATTTTACCATGTACAACAGTTTATTGTACCAGGTACAGCACCATGTACCTAGTATACCTCAAGACATGGGGGGGCGGGAGGGGAATCTCATAACTAATATCATCATCATGTGAAATGCTGGTGAGCATGCATGGTCATAATTTGCCAATGTAAATGATAATCAGGATCCCTTATAAGTTTTTATTCTAATTTTGATTATGCTTTGTGGCCAGTTATTTGTCTCTTTTTTCTTTTTCCCTTGCAGAGATGCCTTGATGTAGCTTAGAGTTATTCGGCTAAATTCACTCATTCATTCATTCAGTAGCATGTCCCTCGCGGAACCTCGCTGCCATAACAACCCTCCGGAAAACCTTCCTATCCTGAGCAAGATGTCCTGCGTCTGATACACCCATCTGGAGATCATCTGCCACATCCTGCACCCATCTTCTCCTTGGCCTTCCTCTTCCTCTCTTCCCAGGCATATACCCCTCCATTATTGTTCTCTCTAGACTTCCATGACGTTTCAAGTGACCAAAATATTTCAATTTTCTTTGTTTTATTGTCTTTACTAGCCAACCTTCTTCAATATTCAGCTCTTGAAGTATGGATGCATTTGTTCTTTTCTTTACCCAAGATATTCTTAGAACCTGTCTGTAACATTTATATTCAAATGCATTTATGCCACTCAAGTGGTCTAAATTTTGAAACTGGGGTCGCCAGGGGCCCAAGCCCAAGCATAGAATGATCATTTTGACAGTATAACTGGCACGATCCGCAGGCCACTAGCTGGACCTTTGTGTTCCAGATTTGGTCAGCTGGCCACTTGCTAGGCCTTTGTGGGCCAAATTTGGCCAGCGGGCCATCAGCCTAATATCCGTGGTGTAGCTGCTAGATGCTGCCTTGCTGACCCGAATGTCATAGATTCAAAACTGCATTTAGTTGGATTATTTTAAAACGATCTTGGCTCCTAGGCGGACCCAGACTAAAATGGGTACCAGGGGAAGTCTTGTGAAGAAAAGATAGCTGAATAATCTATAAAAGTCTAGCACTATATATCCAATACATCTAAGGTCATGGAAAAGGGTTCTTCCCCTTTCTGTCTGCCGATAAGATGTGCTAGTTGTGGCTGGTTTTAAGAGTTTATTCCTCCTCAAAATATCTTCATCACCATCATCACTGAGTGTTGTGCCATTATATTTTGTTCAACTGACCTTGGCTCCTAGGTTGACCCAGCCTTAAATAGGTGTAATTTTGACCACATCATCCATGGAATGCCAATTTGTCTGGAGAAATATGTCTACCATCATTTGCCGGATGTGCCAATGGCTTGAAACAAGGTTTTCTTCTTTTTCTTTATTAAAAAAAAAAAAAAATTGCTGCAAATAGTTTGAATATGAGGTGAGAACCAACTTAATTGCAATCTACACATTCCTGTAAGCACTCCATCCCTATCTTCAGCTGTAAGTAACAGTCTGATTGTATAACCTTCTCACCCCTGCCCTGAGTATTGAGTGTTGGCCAGATCTCTGGTCACAACTGACTGCAGTATTCTCTTCAGACCTTGAGGATTGATATGTATATTTAATCTGGTTGAAATGTTGTTTTTTTCAGCTGACATCTCTAGAGCTTCAGTATGTCTCACCCAAACTCTTGAGCTGCCGGGACCTTGAACTTGCTGTGCCAGGTTCATATGAACCAAACCAGCCAGTTATCCGTATCAAGAGGGTTCAGAGTTCACTTCAGGTCATAACCTCAAAACAAAGGCCAAGGAAACTGAGCATTTTTGGTGAGTATTAACTCAGTTTTGTGTGTGTGTGTGTTCAGAGTGACCTCAATGTAAGACATATGTCCCTAATTGTAAAGGTATCCGGTTTAAATCGCTACCACTAAGACTATAATTGGTGGCAGTTAGTTTCAGAACATCCTCTTATTTCTGCTTCTTGTTATTTTTCTACTTCTGTTTTGCTGCCCCTGCATCCTCTTAGTTCTGCTTCCACACACTCTCACTAAACTGACTGATCTGAGCTTAACTTCGTTGATGCAGAGAAATTATAACCAGAGCAAAATTTAAAAAAAAAAGTTTTGTTTAAAAAGGTACACCCATTGAGAATACTTTTTCCTCATCTTATGTTCTGTGCGACTTATGACCATCAAAATCTACGACCACAAAGAATACATGAATACAAATAATAAATAAATTAAGTTAACAGCATAGGTAGGGTCAAAAAGGTCCCGGAACTAATGCAGCTGAGTAGATATTAATTATTTTTCACATTGCATACAGTAATTGTACGTACATATATTGCATTTTTATGTTTTATTTGCAATTTTTAAAACCCCTTTGATTTAAATTGCTGATGAATACAAATTCAGGCTTGGGACTTTTTAGTCGAACAGAACTAGTTGTAGGTTGAGGGGACCGCATACTTTAAAATTGCCCTCCCATCTTTTAGAAGTTAAAGAAGTTGTGGAAAATAACAGAACTTATTGTAAATATTATGACACAGCTGTTAAAAAGTTAGACAGTGTCTGGTTTTTGACAGTAAACAGCTGTAACTGTGCTTAAAAATAAACAGTTATACTAGTGCTTGCCAGTAAACATTTGCAATAGTGTTTGACAGTAAACACTTGTCCTGGTATTTGACGCTAAACAGTTACAAAGCAGTTTGACAGCAAAAAACATCTGTGCTGGTGCTTGACAGTAAATAGCTTTTTCTGGTGTTTGACAATAAACAGATGTACTGGTATTTGATTGCAAATAGCTAAAATGGTGTTTTGTAGTAGACATTTGTAATGGTGTTCACAGTAAACAGCTGTACTGGTGCTTGATAGTAAGCAGTTGTACTGGTGCTTGACAGTAAACAGTTGTCCTGGGTGCTTGACAGTAAACAGTTGTCCTGGGTGCTTGACAGTAAACAGTTGTCCTGAGTGCTTAACAGTAGACAGTTGTACTGGTGCTTGACAGTAGACAGTTTAACTGGTGCTTGACAGTAGACAATTGTACTGGGTGCTTGACAGTAAACATTTGTCCTGAGTGCTTGACAGTAACATTTGTACTGGTGCTTGACAGACAATTTAACTGGCTGCTTGACAGTAGACAGTTGTACTGGTGCTTGACAGTAGACAGTTGTACTGGTGCTTGACAGTAGACAGTTGTACTGGTGCTTGACAGTAGACAGTTGTACTGGTGCTTGACAGTAGACAGTTGTACTGGTGCTTGACAGTAAACATTTGTACTGGTGCTTGACAGTAAACATTTGTACTGGTGCTTGACAGTAGACAGTGGTACAGGTGCTTGACAGTAAACAGTTGTACTGGTGCTTGACAGTAAACATTTGCAGTGGTGATTAACGATAAACAGTTGCTATTTGACAGTGAAGTGTTATGCTAGTGTTTGTCAGTAAACTGTTACACTCCTTTGTGGTTGCTCTGGCAACAGGCAGTGATGGAGTAGAGTACCAGTTTCTGCTGAAAGGCCATGAAGATCTGCGTCAGGATGAAAGGGTGATGCAGCTCTTTGGGCTGGTCAATTCCCTGCTCCGGAACAATCCAGACACTTTCAGAAGAAACCTCACGTAAGAATTATTTCTTTTTTATGTTCATGTACAATCCCATATATGTTCTTTCTGTCGCATGTTCTTGTCGCTTTCATAGATGTAAGCTAAGTATGAACTGTTTAGTTTGCTTTATTTCTGACCATTCTGTTATGTTTACTTCCACCATTCATAGAGTTTATTAATTTACTTTTATTTTAACTTTAATTTGTATCTGATTGATATTCTTTCTTTTGAGTGTTCTTCTGACATCTGTATCTATTATGGAGTAACAGTTGTAATATATATCACTTTTATGTTCTTTCTATGAAGTATTTGTCACAGTCTTTAGTGGAATAACAACTGTATGTCACATTAAATTCCTTTCTGTCACATGTCTTCTCCTGTTTCCTAGACTTTAGTTGAGTAAAAACTGTTATCTTCTAGAATAACCCGGTTTGCTGCCATCCCCTTGTCCACCAACTCTGGGTTGATTGGCTGGGTGAGGAACTGTGATACCATTCATTCCCTGATCAGAGACTACAGGGAGAAGCGCAAGATCCTCCTCAACATTGAACATCGGGTCATGCTGAGGGTGAGTCCAATTACACAGATCCTGTAGAACGAGTGTTTCAGTTGTATTTTCTCTGCCTTAAAGATTTAATTAGCAGAGACCTGTAAATGGGGCTAGTCTGAAATGAGTCAGTTGGTGTATTCAGCTGCTTGGGCACAGGCATTATATATGGGGATTGAGACTAGTACATGGAGACAGCACATTATGTAGCATGCTGCATGAAGGGGGAAAATCAGGGAGAGAATGGGGACAGAGAGGAAAAAGGTTTCAGAAAGTTTTGGGTCTGAGAATTTAAAATGAACATGTCAGCTACAAAACAATGGCAACAGCGGTTCTGAAATTCTCTGCACTTATGGAAGAATTGATAAGATGAACTGGTCTTGCTAGTCATACTGCCATCAACATTGTTGTTAATGAAATTAGTCTGTCATGACAAGCTGGTTGTACATTGGATTGCTAACCATGTGTGAAACACATCACCAGCCTGAAAATAAACAGGCCACCAACCGGTTTGTTTAAATTTGATAACACCAACCACCACAGGCATTCTGCACAAAATGAGTATTGACACTGTTGTACCAAGCACTCATCTCAGCAGCTTGGGTATTGACATTGTTTTACATGATGTAGAGAGCTTATGCAGTAAATCTTGGTCAGGTGAGGTGAGAACAAGTTTTAAACAAATGATTTCCACAGATGGCACCCGACTATGATCACCTGACGCTCATGCAGAAAGTGGAAGTCTTTGAACATGCTCTGGAGCACACCCAGGGTGATGACCTGGCCAGGATTCTGTGGTACAAGTCTCCCAGCTCAGAGGTTTGAGTTTGATCTTCTTTGCTCAGTACTTGTCTTAGAAATCATTATCATGATGTAGCAGATCCGGTGCAGAGTAATGCTTTCATCAACAGCTGCCCCTGGGTCACTGTGCCTTGCTAATTTCCCTGTCACACATTTTCATGGCTGTGTTGTCTGAAACATCTTGTGTCCACCTTCAAGCTGATCAGCACCTGCCTCATCTTCCAGCAACTGTGACTTTCGTTGCTAAACTATTCAAATTTTAAATATAGCAAAACTAATTCAGTTTTTGAGACTTGATGCTGTTCACAAGCACATTCTTTGTTATTGAGACACCATGATAAGATAGGTAAGGAACAGATTATAAACAGCATATTCATATCAACACTGCTACTAGTGCCTAGCTTGGACATTATCAAAGACTAACCTACATAAATATAACACCTATGAAAGGAACTGCCAGAGGAAAGCCGCTGACTTAAACATCTGAGACAAAGTAAATTATACTGTCTGACAGACTGTGGGAACAACATGCACCAGATTCATTAAAAAAACAGAAGCTCAGATGGTTCGATCATCTTGTTTAAATGCAGCCACCAACTACTATCAACATAGGCGCTGCACATGAAAAGATCTAATTTAAAAACAGGAGGTTGTCGTAGGAGATAATGAACTGATGGCATTAAAGACCTTTGACACAGAATGATAACAGCAGTTGCTACCCATCAAGCATTGAATTGCAAAATGTTCTTTCCCTTGACCCTCAGTAGAAATTAATGATGAAGATGATAATGATGATGAAAAGATACAAAACCAAAAGAGAAGTAGAACTAGTTAACTTCATGTTATCAGTCTTCAATGATATATGAAGGTTGCAGATAGAAAGACTTTGTAGCATATGACATAAATGGACACTCTTATATTTACAAACAAAAATCACTTTTCTGAAGTTCCTGCAAGAAATATCCATAATAGTTCATTATTCACATGTAGAATGCTGGTTTTTTCCCCTTTTTCTTCTTCTTTATCCTTGAATTATGTGACTTAAACAGTATATGCTTTCCCCGTGAATACTTTATTAATTTTTTTAACCAGCGTATGCTAGGTCGTATGATGCTAAATGTATATTTATTTTTGCTACTGGTACATTTTTCTAGTTTTTAAAGCTGTACATGGTTTCTTCTTCTACTGTTGTATTTATCAATTATATACTTGTCTGTACGTGTTAGTTTTTTTTTGTTTTTTTAACTTGCATTTGTATAATTTATTACTGTTTGACCTATGTTGACATAGTCGATAGTCTGTTTGCATGCCAAGCATGCATACAAAGACAGTTAAAATTAAAATAAAAAATGTTTTAAAAAAAATGGCAAGGGATAATTTCAGTTATTATGTACCAAACCAAGTGCACATTTGATTTGTTATACTCAAATTGTGCACAAAGCTTTTATTCTTTCTCAGATAGAGGTGATTCTAGTCTTTTCATGATTGAAATCTTAATTTATGTTTAATTTATGATAACCTATTTTCTGCTTCCTGTATAGTAACAACCTTTGTCTCATGTATAACTTAGTGACTGTCTTGTGTGTGATGTCTTAAATTTGGACTCAGTGTATGATACAAATCTCTTTCCTGTATGAAAACTTAATGTTTGTCTCATTTATGATAACTTAATGTCAGTCTAAGTGTTAACTTTATCTGTCTTATGAATTATAACATCTGTCTCATGTATGGTAGCTTAATTTCTACTTCAGATATAACAACAATTTCCATCTCATATGTGACAACTGAATGTCTGTCTCATGTATGATAACTTAATTTCTATCTCATACGTGATAATTTATTTCTCATATATGATAACTTAATGTCTATCTCATGTATGATGTCTTTTTCTTCTCTTCTATGAAAGCTTAATTTCTGTCTCTTGTTTGACGACCTAATTTCTTTCTCATGTTTGATAGCATAATTTATTTCTTTTATGTGATAATCTAATTTTTCTTTTGTCTGATAATTTATATGGTGTGTACAATATTTTAAATCCTGTCTCATTTATGATTCTTTAATTTCTATCTCACAAATGATAACCTAATTTCTGTCGCATGCATGTATAATAACCTAATATCTATCTCATCCAGGTGTGGTTTGACCGACGAACCAATTACACCCGTTCTTTAGCAGTCATGTCTATGGTTGGCTATGTGCTTGGTCTTGGAGACAGGTCTGTGAACATCATCTGTTGAAGATTTATGACTTTTCTTTTTATACATGATGTATCTCTACAGATATTGTAACCTGGGGTGCAGGATCAGTCAGAGAAATAGAAAACAGAAGGCCAATAACATAAATTGCCAGGCTATCCTCTGAATTTTGGGCACTAAAGATGGCGGCCGCAAAATATCCTTACGAGCCTCAGTCACGTGTCATTTAATTTGCGGTTTCTGGCGACTACCGCCACCGCCAAGAATCCCCCATGCCGCTCACTCATGGCGGTAGTCACTGAAAAAGCGCAAATTAAGTGACACGTGACTGAGGCTCGTAAGGATATTTTGCGGTCGCCATGTTTAGTGCCAAAAATTCAGAGGATAGCCAATTACCAAATAGTGCCACCTTCGAGGGGATCAAAATATATTTATACTCTTAGTTGTATTAGATATTTCTCCTTCTTCCTCTTCTTCTTCTTCATATTCACTAGCTGTAAACTCCAGCAGGAAGCTCTGGTAGTTCAGTCACTTCTGGTCTTTGCTCTTATTCCAGAACATTGCTTGCACATCCTTTTTACAGATCTGGCTTTTATATATGCAGACTATTGGTTACTTGCATCTCAGGCAGATGCACTCCGGCTTCGAAGGAAATATCCCTAATTTGTCACTTGTGGATGTATTATTCCCCCCCCCCCCAAAAAAAAAAAAATGGGGCCCTGGCGTAAGATAAAAGTATTGGCTATAAAGTTCTTGACCTATCTTTTATAGATTAAGCATCACTCAACAGTTCTAATTATAGATACATAGATCCCATGAAACATGTTAGAAACAGTATAGGTGATTGAACAAGAAAGTGTGCAAGCTGATGCTTGCTGGTTAAACTACTATGAATACTGGCCAAGCGATGGGCCTGGCTGATATGCTGAATACTCTACGACAGCGTTCTCAACCTATGGGTTGCAGCCCTTTTTTTTGGGGGTTCAACGACCCTTCACAGAGGTAGCCTAAGACCATCAGAAAACACATTTATTGAAGTTATAAGGTAGTAACGAAAATAATTGTGTTTAGGGGTCGCCACAACATGAGGAACTGTAGTAATGGGTCCCGGCATTAGCAAAGTTGAGAACCACTGCTCTATGAGAAGTAAGATTTTTGCATGGACCAAGTGACTGAATTTGCAGCCATGACCGGAATGCAAGAACAGTAAGTTAAAAGAGATGTGGCCAGACAAGAGCACTATACAGGCAGCCACACACACAAATTAATAATAAACTAACACAGAACTGGTGTCATCAGCTGCTACATTCTGCTGGATTTACTGAGGAGGGGATGGAGAACTTATGGACTGAATGGTTTGATGTGTAGTGAGGATAATCTGGGGACTAGCTATCTAGCTGTAATGTGATTGTGTTTCTCAAACTGTCTTGCAGGCATCCATCCAACTTGATGCTGGACAGAATCAGTGGCAAAATCATCCACATTGATTTTGGGGATTGTTTTGAGGTGGCCATGGTGAGAGAGAAGTACCCAGAGAAGATTCCCTTCAGGCTCACCCGCATGCTGATCAATGCCATGGAGGTATGTAGGAATCAGTTCTCTTGGAGTAGGAATTATATAGTATGAAAACCAAATGACATATTTGTAATTCTAATGCTATTTATTTTTGATTCAACTTTAACATTTGCCAGTTTAAGTTGGAGGACCACTGAAACTAAAGACATGGAACAAAAGTGAAATGTATTAGAGAAAGGGAAGGAGATCAAATGAGGGGTTGGGGCAGTAACAGAAAGCTAGAGAAAAGGAAGTTGTTTTAATGGGGGGGGGGGGGGGGCGGGAAGGTGGGAGGGGGGTGGTGATAGGTTTAATTGATAATTATAAAAAAAGGTAAAAATTTTTGTGAATTTTCTCTGATCAAAGAAAGAAGACCAAGACATCTTCATGACATTTTGGTAAGGACTGCTGACTCGCATTAAACAGGTCTTTGAGTGTAAATATTTCTGAACAACATTCAACCAGCTTGAAATGGCTACTAAGAAATGTCCTGGGATGTAAAAGTGGCCTATTAAATGTTTTCTACCTCATCGCCCATTGAGCCCTGATTTGTGTATAACTGTCTAGCTTTATATGCCTGATGTCCATGTATGGGTTCCTGGCATCCATTTTGAGTAAGACAAGAGTAGACCCACTGCCTTCCCAACAGAGTTGAGTCAAGAATTGACATCACAGCACTTGGGCATTCCCATGTGTGCTCCATCCTTATCTTCAGCAGCCAGCGAAGAGTTCTGATACTAATGGTACCAGTTGTAATATGGTTATATGTCCGTCTTGCCTTTCCCCTCAGTATAAGCCAGACCACCTGGTTACATCCAGGTGCCTCATTCTCTCCAGTCCATAATCTTTTTTCGCTTCTGACCCCATTAATTGTTCCCAAAGGGCCCCGACCACATCTGCCTTGTCAAGTATAGTTTACCACCAAGTGGTGCAGATCCAGCCAATCTGTCTGCCTGTTCATTCCCCACCACACCAGCCTAGCCTGGAGAAAAGATCTAAAGTTTGCCTTTCCAACAAGCATGTTGTAAGAGTTGGCTAATTTGTGGCTTTCTTTCAAGTTGGAATGCATCTGCCTAAGAGACTGGGAACCGACAGTTTTCATACAAATAAGCCAGATCTGTAAAATGAATATGCACTCAACACTAGGTTCTGAAACTGTACAGTTCAGAGATGGTCAAACAAGAACTTTCTTTCAGAGTTTATAGCTAACTCAACAAAGAAGAAGAGATGACCGAGAGAAGACTTGAAAAGTGTCTTTTACATTTTTTATTTTTAGGTGACTGGCATTGATGGCAACTACAGAGAGACCTGCAATAAGGTGATGTCTGTACTGAGAGAGAACAAGGAGTCCCTGATGGCGGTGCTTGAGGCCTTTGTTTATGACCCACTTCTCAGCTGGAGACTGGTGGATGCCCACAAGACCAAGGCAGCTGGAGGGGCAGGGAAGGGCAAATCTGCGGGGTCCATCAATGAAAGCACTGATGCTTCCGGTAATTAGGTTTCTCAGATATGCTTTCTTGTGAATGTCTTTTGTCTATTTCTGCTATCTGCCAGTGGCATATTGGGCATGAGATGCTCAGCTTAATCAAAACAACATAGATGGAACATGATTGGAAATGAAATGTCAGATAAGAAGTAAAGACAGAACCAGTATTAAACTACCTCAGAAGACAAGAGATCAAATGGTTTGGACATGTGCCAAGACAACCACCAGATAGTGTACCACAAAGAGCCCAGTCATTTAGACATAATGGAAGCAGATTTATACGTCGACCATGCAAGCCACGGATAGATTGAATATGTGAGATAGTAAATACCCACAATTACCTAGCATACAAAGACTCACAACCGATGCCTCTTCATAACCGGATGCTGAAACGGCATAACAAGACTAGAGAAGAAGAAGAAGCAGTTGCTTGACTTATACTTTTGTAGACCAAGAGGCACTCAGTATTTGATATAGTCAGTATCATTCTGGCCACCTTTATTTCTCTGGACGTTACCTGGTACCAATTTCAGGCTGGACTTGATCTGGGAGCCAAGGTTATTTAAGAGGGGTGGGGTGGTGGCGGAGGGGAGGTTATCCAACTCTGTGCAGTTCGAGCCCGAGACCTTTGTGCTGGTATGTGGGTCTAGCCTCTATGCCACTTCACCTAGACATGGCAGGTTTAACAGATCATCAGTAGCTGAGCCAGGGCATGCTCAGTTGCTTGATATAGTGTGATGCTGGGAAGTCTAAGGTTGTCAGTGACCCCTTCAGTCCATCTTCAGTCCTTTGCCTCTTGATATTTCTACTTACATGTCATACACTGTCTAAATCTTTGGGATCTTTCTTATTAGTTGGTTGAACCAGTTCAGTCTTTGTTTCTCAGTTAGTTTTTTCTTATTAGAATGCCCTGGCTGTAAAGTCCTGCATACAGTTCTAGCTGCTTGTCCATTTCTAGACTGTAGTCTTGTTATAAAACTTGAGTTTGCCTGCACATCATTTACAGGCCTGGTGTATTTGTATGCAGACTGTTGGTTCATTGCCTCTGAGGCAGATACACTCTTGACTTCAGCAGAAATAGCCTCTAATTAGTCAGCTTTTATGACATTATTATTAGAGGGGCATTGGGTCTATTCATTTTTTCCCTATACTGGGGCAGGGGTTCTGGTGATTATGTGAGCTGCCGAAACATGACTGACTATTCTTACGGCCAGTGCATGTGATGATGATGATGATATAAACTTCAAGACTGTTCGGTACAGGTAAATCTATCTGCTGTGATACTGCATTCCAGAAGACTTCAATGTTGTTACCTTTATAATGACTGGGTGATAAAAGTGGTCAGTTTATTTATTTTTTAACCATACTAGAGGGAAAAGTCAAAGGCAAAAGAGCAAGAGGTAGATAGCAATACAAGTGGGAGGATATTATCAAGAGATGGGCAAACAGCAGTCTGAAAAAATGTACAATCAAGACAAGAGAAAGTGTGTTGGTAATCTTTGCAGCCAGTCTTCCTTATGGAGATGGTACCAGATTGATTTGTAATTTACTTATTTAGGTAGCAGTTTTGATTACCCAAAAAACCCAAAGAAATAAATTATCATACACACTGGCAAGGCAACCGCAGTTTTTGAAGTCTGAACAAAATATGAGCTCTAAATTGTATAGTTTTAAAACAAATTACACTTTTAATTTTTAATTTAATTTATTTTTATTCAACGTAAACCAGCACAAACGGCTAGCATAATGCTGTCCACATTACCCACCTACTCCCGATTGGTCTGTAAAAATATGGGGTGCTACTCCCATATGCCCGATGTGCCAGAGGTGTGAAAAGGGATCTTTACTTTACTTTACTAATATACCAGTTAAAGTTGGAGAACCACCAAAGAATGGAGCAAAAGCGAAATGTATTCTGAAACAGTTTTCTGAGGAAACTGATGGTTGCTGCTTCCCTGTGAGGGTTCCAGGACCAGGGGGGGGGGGGGGGGGGGGGGATCACCTGCTCCCAAACAAGCATGTTGTAAATGATGGCTTATTAAGGGTTTGCTAAAATAGAATACGTGGGGATGAAAAATGCAGAAATTGCATCCTAGCTGTAAACCACTACACAACATGCCAACTATCCTGTTGAGGGATAATGCAGAAAATGAAGATGTTTGCTGCTTTTTAGACTAAATCCATTTATTTTGACTTTCTGCTGCAGTCATTTGGGTTAGGCAAGATCAAATGAGATTGGGGAGGAACTGCTACTTCCATCAGTGATGAACCACTTCCATTGGCAGACTGTTTGTGATGGCACTTCTGACGGCTGCCTTATGCATTTAATGTATGCTATTGATTTTGATGATTCTGCAGTCTGTTCACTTTTTGTTGTTGTTGCTAGGAGCAGCAGTAGGCATTCTGTGTGGTTTTTGCTGGCACACAAATGGAGCTACTATAGCCTAACCTATGAAGTTGAAACTGATTAACTTAAAAGAGATGTATTACATTGTTGCAGCACCCGTTGATCTGTTAGAGATAGAAGGCCCACAGTCCAGTAGTAGCAAGAAAGTAAACGTAGCTCATCTAGATGGTGGGGATGACTACAGTACCATCCTGGAGGTCACTAGCAAGAAAGCCATCAGCATTGTCAACCGTGTCCGTGACAAACTGACTGGTAAGTAATCTCTCTTTGACTGTGGGTTAACTCGAACCATGTCTCTTGACACAATAATGGGTAAGTTAACCATATCTGTGACATGTTAATGGGTAAGTTAACTATGTCTGTGACATTAATAGGTAAGTTAACTATGTGTGTGACACATTAATGGGTCAGTTAACCATGTGTGTGACACATTAATGGGTCAGTTAACCATGTGTGTAACACATTAATGGGAAAGTTAATCATGTCAGAAACCTTAATGGGTAGATTAACCATGTCTATGACACATTAATGAATAAGTTAACCATGTTTATGGCACAGTAATGAGTAATTCAGCTATGTCTAAGAAATGCTAATGGGTACGTTCACCTTATCTATGGAATACTAACTAGTGATTTAACCATGTCTATGACATGCTAAGTGGTGAATTAACCAAGTGTATGACACCATAATGGTGAAGTTAGTAGCACAAAACAACACCAAAAAATGCCACACTTTTGTATATGTCAAGATTTAAATAAAACTCCCTATGTGCGACCCATTCTGGGGAAAACAAGAACAGACCTACTGCCTCCACAGCAAGCATGTTGTAGGAGTCAACTTACTGGGGACAATCTTTGAAGTCGGAGTACATCTGTCTGATAGGCAAGGAGCCAAGAGTCTGCATGCAAGTAGGTCAGATTTGTGAAATGGATGTGCATGCAACACTCAGGTTCTGGAGCAAGACTAAAGTCTGAAAGTTGGTGAACAACCAGAACTTTCTGCCAGAGTTTACAGCTGGTGAACGTTAAGATGTAAAAGAAGAAGTACTACACAGAACTACAGTAGTAGTCATGGAAAATACACATGTATATTTACACAGTTTGGGAAAGATGTACAGAATATGTTTGCCTAACCTACTTCTGCTTGATGTTTCTGCCCACAACAGGTCGAGACTTTGGCCAGGACGATCCTGTAGATGTGAACCGGCAGGTGGAGCTGCTGATTCAGCAGGCCACATCCCACGAGAACTTGTGTCAGTGTTACATCGGTTGGTGCCCCTTCTGGTAGTTCTCCCAGTGCATTGACAAGACTTGTGCTAAGCCATTACCTTATTGTTATTTTGTTCCTTGCTTTATATTCCTTGTTTTTATGTTAACTAATTTTCTTTAATTAGTAGGTTAAAGACAAAAATTATGTAGGTGAAAGCGTCAGAGATGTCATTTTACATTTTACAAACGAATGATAACTTTGTAGGCATAAAAATAGTTATGAAGATGTCATGAAAGAAATGAATCCACGAAAAGAACTGATTACCCACTTCAGAAAGAGATATTCTACCCTCTTAGGTAAAATCATGAGAAGCATAAACTAAACTTACATCATGTTGATGGAAAAGAGGGGGGAAAGAAGCACAGGAAGACTGATCAAGAAGATGCTGGATAGTTTGAAATGGCATGTAAGATCATCTGTGTCAGAAGTGGTTCAAAGTACATGAGACAGAAGGACCAGCTGCAAGAGAGTTACTAGGGGATCTGGCTGATGCTCAACACTCAAGGGAAGGGCGAGACTGATGTACAATCAGACAGTTACTGGTACCATCGGAATTGGAATTCTTCACTGCTGAGGATGGGGTATCCCGAGTGCTATGATTTTGATTCTTAATTCAACATTCAATATTCTACTACCACCACACATCATAGATTACAAGACGAAGAATTTTATTAGGCTGAATTTAACCAGCTTGTTCTTGTTGTCTTTCTTTATGTTTCTTATTTTCATATGTTCACTAAGCATTGTAGACTGTAATTAATCAAGTTATTATTCTGTTTACTTTATTTGTGTTCCTTATTTTTGTATGTTAACTAATTATCTTAGTCATTAACCATCCTGTTCTTATTTTTACTCTGCTCTTTTGTTTTGTTTTTTTGTACTTGTTACTAGTCACCTCATTATTCATATTTTCATTTTGGCTAAAATTTGTTAGTAAGGTTTTATATCATTGTTTTGATTTATCTTTGTATTTCGTTGTATTTTTACATTTTGTGTGTGTGTGTGTGTTGGGGGGGGGGGGGGGTGATTTTTCTTATTAATCATTAGAGGGATGACTGGTCGAGTAGAGTGTTGGGATACCATGTGGGAGAACAAGGTTTGATCCTTGGTAAGATATGGAGATTTTTGGGGAGAGTATTTGTTATTAATCCTCAGAGGAAAGCTGGTCGAGTGTTTAGAGTGCTGGGAGACCAAGGTTATGATATGGAGATTTATTTCTGTCGGGGGGAAAATCACAACCTGTATCCATGGCAGTTGCCGTGCCGCCTTAAATCAATCCTCAGGCTCAAGACCTATCTGTCCTCCACAGCCAAAAAGGAGGTATATACTTATGCTCAATATAGTTATCAGTCGTCTAAAACAAAACATCTGTGTCTACCGTTGAAACACTGTGTGTCACATCCTGTGCTTTGCCTAATATACTCTTTTTTTTTTTTTATTACTTTTTTTTTATTTGGTCATAATACACTCGAGAAATCTGGCTTGTCCAATGGTCACTGCTGCTTTAAAAGTAATACATTGATGAATTATAATCATGGATATTATTTCACTGGCAAAATCCCACGAAACCACCTTCTGGTACTGAAGGAGTTTAGAAGATTCTGTTATTGCGATAATTGTCCCTTTTTCTTTTGTTTTGTTATAATGTTTCTGATTTTAGTTATTAGGAATCATTGTTCCTTCTATGTGTTAGAATGGAAGTGATGGAAAGGGAAGGTTTCTTGAATGGCAAAACTTTGGTAATAAGCCTAAAATTTTTGGAATTTGAAATAGTCTGACTTGGGGTAGTTAAAAAAGTGCTAAGGAATGTTTGGAATTTGAAATATTTGTGCCTTTGGGCAGGTACTAATGTTAATAAAGAGTGGTTGGCCTAGTGGTTACAGCACTTGGTTCTCATGTTGGAGATGCGAGTTTGATCCTCAGTAAGGAGTGGAAAATCTTAACCTGCACAATTCGTGGCAACTGCGCTAGCCCTGTAGCTTTACGTCTCTAGGCTCCTGATTTCCTGTCCTTTACTGCCCTTTCCTTTTTTTCTTCCTTGCGTCCATGTTCTGCTTTGTGTCGCTAGATGTTGTAGGTTAACAGGGGATCAGTGTCTGAGCTAGGGCACACTTAGTCGCCTGATTTGTTGTAGGCTAGTGTTGTGGAGTCTCAGAATATCAGTGAATCCTTTTCTTGGTCTTTCCCTATAACTCGGTGTTTCTACTTTCATCTTGTACACTCTTTGGTGGCATTGTTTGATTCATTCTCATTAAACGGCCAAACCATTTAAGTCTTTCACCCTGGAGTGTTAAATACAGCCAGAAAAGACGGTCTAGTAGACATCTAGTTTTACATTCGAGTCTATTGGAGTTTGGAATCAGTGTGATAGTGTGCAGTCTACAGATTCTTCTTCTTCTTCTCCCCCTCCTCCTTGTCCTTGTGCTACGCCTAATCTAGTTCTGTTCTGCCTTTCAGTATCTGGTTTTGAAGAGGCATCGTGTGTGAACTTTGATATCTGCTACCTAGATGCTGGCATTTACAGCCTAGGATATTCCATCTGTCGTTTATATATTTGACCTCTAGGTCTCCTTCCTCTATGTCGTCCAAGTGACAGGGCTCTGTATTATGCACTGTCTGGTGGTAGTCTTAACACATGTCTGAACCATTTGGTCTGTTGTTGCTTGATGTAATTTAGTACTGGTTCCATCCTAGCTTGTTTTCTGATTGATAATCATCATCTCTGATTCTGTCTCTTCTAGTTACATTTAGGATTCATCATAGACATTTCATTTCTGTTTCAGTTTTTAATTTTTCTTTGTCTACAAATTCAGTTTGTTAAAATTACAATAGCATCCAAGACTGTTTATGGTAATATTGCAAATCTATGACTTAAAATTAGGAATGATATTTATCGTTGTTGACTTTATATAGTGAAGTAACAAAATGCCACTGTATTGTTTATAAACTTCAGACTGCACCAAAGTGTGTATATGAGGTAGGCTTATATGTGGTATGCTTGTATATGAGGCGGGCTTGCAAATGAGGTAGGCTTGTATGTGTGATAGGCTCATAAAAGAGATAGGCTTGTAAATGATTTAGGCTTATATATGAAAAAAGCTTGTAAATGTGATAGGCTTGTATGTGTGATTAGCTTGTAAATCATTTAGGCTTATAAATGAGAGGTTTATTTACGAGGTAGGCTTGTGTGATAAGCTCATAAATGGGATAGGCTAATCATTGAGGCAGGCTGCCCCCGTGTGGGTTCCGGGGCCCCATTGTGGGGAAAAACAAGAATAAACCCACTGCCTCCCCAAAAGCATGTCGTAAGAGTCGACTAATTGGGGAGCTTCCTTTGAAGTCGGAGTGCATCTGCCGGAGAGCAAGGAACCAACAGTCTGTATTCAAGAGAATGAGATCTGTAAAACTGATGCACACGCAACACTCAGGTTCTGGAGCAGGACTGCAGTTCAGTAGCGGACGAGCAACCAGAACCTTCTGCCAGAGTTTACAGCTGGTGAACGCGAAGAAGAAGAAGAAGATTGAGGCAGGCTTGTATTATGAAAACCTGGTAAATGAGGTAGGCTCATAAATAAAGAAGGCTTGTGTATGGGATAGTCTTGATTATTGTGTAGGCTTGTAAAGTAAATGACACCAGCTTGTTTGTGTGATAAGCTTGTCAATTAAGTAGGCTTGCAAATGAGATAGGCTTGATTGCAGTAGGCTTTAGTAGATAGTTTTTACTTTAGTAAAGTAGGCTTTTGAATTATTGAAACACAGTGTCAATCTCATCTTTCACATGAAATCACCCAATACAGTTTTGTAGGGTCTTGCTCTAACAACACATACAGTAACCCACAATCTTGCTATATCACACTAATAATAGGCTATCATAAAATGAGATCAGTCCAGTAAGAAGTAGAACTTCACAGTGCTACAATCGTGAGTGACAAATGGATGCTGCTCTAGAGACACTTTATAAGCCTATGATACAAGAGGGCTTCAAATTCAATGCATGTCAACAGTGGAGCAACCATCTGTAAACTGCCATTATCATGTCTCCCTGTATGTCTACACTGTGATCTCACATGCTTGAGACTCTTGACATCCTTAACAGTATTGACAGGTTACAAGCATAGTTATTGTAATTTCTATCATACTTTTAAGGTTCTTCATTTAAAAAAAAACCTTAAACATACATGTTCTGATAGTTTTTTTTTTAATACCCCAAAAATCACTTATCCGTAAGTATAGTTCTTTCACCCAAATATCCATGGCATGTCTGGGCAGTAGACATTGAGTCAGGTTTGTTACAGCAAGAGAGTACTGCACAGGAAGGGAGGTAGGAGTTGTGGAAAGTGGCCCTATCTCACACTGATTTTTGTTGTTCTGTGTGTTTGAATTTAATATACATATTGAGAACTATTAATCTTTGTACAAGTGTAATATTTTATTTGGATCATTTATTATGTTTACCTTTGAATTGCCCTTGTTTGTCTAATGTAAAATGTCTGTTTTCTGCAATAATTAAACTTTATTCATGGTTTGATGGTTTTGGTTTTTCTTCTGCATTTGCCAAAATCTGGAAAAGGTTTATTTCTACATAAAGGGAAGTGATCTCTAAGTACAGACGGAGCAAAGAATTAAGTGATTGTGTTTTTCTTTGCTTTGACCATTTAAAAGTGGTTAACTCTGTCACGCTGAACAGGATAAATCTAGTCACTTCCAGTTGTGACACAGCCCTGACATGGCCAAAATATCACCATTTTGGCAGTTATTTGTTCTTGACAAGCAAAGGTGAATGCTACTGGTTATTCTCTACCTGTATAGTGTTTCGAGGCCTGGGTAATAAACTAAATATAGCATTTAGAGGGTTTTGCTTCTGGATCCAATAGCTTTTTATTTTTTATTTTTTTTTGTATAAATTATATCATCTGCTGGAGGAGACTGAGCATTTAAGAGTGTCTCCTAACAGCTGTTATGTCACTTCCTTAAATAACTGATTATTCTTTTGCTTTCTGCTTTTCCATTGTGTTTTC